ATCAAAGCGACTAACATAACCTTGTTAGAGAAGATGATTTTCAATGTTTAATTTATATATTTTCAATACATTGATTGCCTCCCGTGTCTCGAAATGTTGATTATTCGCAATTCCTTTCCTGATTTGATCGTAAATTAACCTTTTTTTTAATTCTGGAGCCTCGTTCACCGAGAAATCTCTAACATAAAGTTTCGCAAACTTATTACACGTTCAGTCGTTCACATTACATTCTAAAGGATTTTTTACGGTTGAGTCATAATTTTACTTTTATATGAAAACATTTATGTTTTCTTACTGTTCGTGTAATATTTTTGTTATTGTTTAATAAAATTCAGAGAAAAAGATATTTTCTGATCTAAAATTTTATTGTGGAAGCATATTTGTTACTTATTTTATTGTTATTTATTTTCTTTGCGTAAAGAATTTTTTCTTGTGATTAATAAATCTAAATGAAAAAATATATCATGATGGAGCGGAGACATGTTGAAAATACCTATCAAAAGAAAATGGTGGTTTTAGTTTTGTTGCGATGAAAAAAATTCAAAAATAAAATTCTTCTAACTTCCATGTTAGAATCAATAAACAAAAATTGGTCAATCAAGCGTATACTGATTTGGTAGCTGTTATAATACAATCGAAAAATATCTTTTTTTAACGAAAATAGTTCAAACGAAATTTGCCTACCGACATAAAGAGGTTTACCCAATAGAAGAGAGCAGAGGAAATATTATAAAAAAAGAAATGAAGGTAATTCTTTTTGAAATACAAATGAGGAAATACAGCGAAAAATTGAAGCCTAGAGAAAAAGAAAAAGAATGAAAAGAATGTGGGGAAATGGTCGAGAGAAGATTCGCTGTGAAAAAAAAATCACAAGTAAACAAGGAGCCAAATTTCGAGATGTTCAAAGTACAAAGAAAATCAAAGAAAAAAATTCAATTAAACACGAGATTTGAGACGGGAACGTAAATTCAATCCCTTTTTGATATGGTTTTTATTTCTTTTCGAACGAGTGAATATATTTTTATAAAATAAACGGGTTTGTTTTACTCGACATTTTCTCTTCCCTTTCCTTTCTCTACGATTTAATTTAGGGCTGAATTTTGTATCGAAAAAAAGAAAACATCCAGGAGGATTTATTTATTCTTTATATCGAGATATTTTTTTCTGAATGGAAATCTAGACGTCAACCTAATCTCCTTTCTCCTCAATTGGGATAGACCATCTTCAAATGAAGGGACATGTATCTCGGCCTTGCGATAGTTACTTATGCCTATATGAATTGCCTCTTCAAACACGTCATCCATGGAGAACTATTTTGCTTAGAGTGACTCCTACATGGCTCCAAACAGGAAAATAAGAGGGTTTCAAGTCAAGACTAGAAACTCTTGGGCAGCAACCACCCTTCACAGAGTCTGGGAGTCTGTCACTAAGTCACTTTCACCATTTTATATAGGATTAACATTAACTCTACATCTCTTAACTGTGATTATATCACTGACAGCCTTTCCATAAACATTCACTAACCTCCTTTATGATTCAGCTATATTTGCTAATGTTATTCTTGCTCCGCCATCCAATTGGTTATGCGTTATTTTCTTGTGTTTCTCTTGCCTTCACTCTGTCCTGTGAGTATCAAATTTTCCGGGCCTTCTTTCCTCGTTATGTGAAATTGTTCAACTGTCTCTTACTAATGTTAAGTATAAATGTCTAAATGTCTTTTCGTTTCCATTTTCTCTAAAACTTCGCCATTGCTCACATTGTTGGTCCAACGTATTCTTAATATCCTTCCGGGAGACCACATTTCTGTTGCTTCAAGTTTCTGCATTTTAAAAAAGATATTTTAGATTTTTAACATTGTTTTTTTCTGCCTTATTTCACAAAGATTTTTTTCCAAATTAAGAATTATCATAATTTTTCTCGTCTAATCCGATTTGATGTTATCTATAAATTTAATAAAATAGCAGCGGAAAAGTAAATGAACAATTAAGGATTATTAATATTCAAAATTTATATCTCAGAATCACAAAACAATAACAAATGTTCTATCTGGTGGAATTGGAAGATTTCGTTTTCTAATTGTAATTTTGAAAGTGATGTTGTATCAACACACACACACTACACAATGGTGATTGAATGCAATGTTGTCTTCTGGTGGAATTGGACACACACACACACACACATCACATAAGGAAAAATACCATATATATATATATATATATATAATATATTGATATTTGATATGGAATCAAAGATTTTGAAACTGACATCTGAAGTGGATTGAAAGTGATTTTTCTATTGGAATGGAAGGAGGAATGGTGATTGAATTGGTCCAAATGCTCGGAAAGTTGATTCATTGTCATCTGGTGGAATTCTACTTGGAGGAATGGTGATTGAATCCTATCTGGTGGAATTGGAAGGAGGAAAAAAACTGATGTTTCTATCTGGTGGAATTGGAACATTGATTGAAAGTGATTTGTCTATCTGGTGGAATGGTGCTCTGTGGAATTGGAAGGAGGAATATATCTCTGGTGGAATTGGATTCTTTAATCTGGTGGAAAAGGAAATCCAAAGGAGGAATGGTGATTGAAAGTGATGTTTTCTAATTGTGGTGATTGAAAGTGATCTATCTGGTGGAATTTGGTGATTGAAAAGTGATGTTGTCTTAATTGGAAGGAGGAATGGTGATTGAAAGTGATGTTGTCTATTTGGAATTGGAAGGAGGAATGGTGATTGAAAGTGATGTTTTCTATCTGGTGGAATTTTGATTGAAAGTGATGTTGTCTATCTGGTGGAATTGGAAGGAGAATGGTGATTGATGATGTTCTCTCCTCTGGTGGAATTGGAAGGAGGAATGGTGATTGAAAAAGATGTTGTTCTATCTGGTGGAATTGGAAGGAGGAATGGTGATTTTGATGTTGTCTATCTGGATTGGTGGTGGTGATTAGGTCTCATCTGGTTTTGGTGATTAACTATGTTATCTGGTGGAATTGGAAGGAGGAATGGTGATTGAAAGTGATGTTTGTCTATCTGGTTTGGTGATTATAAAAGTGATGTTTCTATCTGGTGGAATTGGAACTTATCTGGTGGAATTGGAAGGAGGAATGGTGATTGAAAGTGATGTTGTCTATCTGGTGGAATTGGAAGGAGGAATTTTGAAAGTGATGTTGTCGGTGGATTTGGTTCCTATCCTGGAATTGGAAGGAGGAATGGTGATTGAAAGTGAATCTGGTAAAATGGTGATTGAAATCATGTTGCCTATCTGGTGGTTCTGAATGGTGTTTGAAAGTGATGTTGTCTTCTGGTGGAATTGTTCATTGAAAGTGATGTTGTCTTCTGGTGGAATTGGAAGGAGGAATGGTGATTGAAAGTGATGTTGTCTCTCTGGTGGAATTATCCTTTGCCTGGGTGATTGAAAGTGATATTGTCCATCTGGTGGAATGGTGGAATTGAAGGAGGAATGGTGATTGAAAGTGATGTTGTCTATCTGGTGGAATTGGAAGGAGGAATGGTGATTGAAAGTGATGTTGTCTATCTGGTGGAATTGGAAGGAGGAATGGTGATTGAAAGTGATGTTGTCTATCTGGTGGGATTGAAGGAGGAATGGTGATTGAAAGTGATGTTGTCTATCTGGTGGAATTGGAAGGAGGAATGGTGATTGAAAGTGATGTTGTCTATCTGGTGGAATTGGAAGGAGGAATGGTGATTGAAAGTGATGTTGTCTATCTGGTGGAATTGGAAGGAGGAATGGTGATTGAAAGTGATGTTGTCTATCTGGTGGAATGGAAGGAGGAATGGTGATTGAAAGTGATGTTGTCTATCTGGTGGAATTGGAAGGAGGAATGGTGATTGAAAGTGATGTTGTCTATCTGGTGGAATTGGAAGGAGGAATGGTGATTGAAAGTGATGTTGTCTATCTGGTGGAATTGGAAGGAGGAATGGTGATTGAAAGTGACGTTTTCTATCTGGTGGAATTGGAAGGAGGAATGGTGATTGAAAGTGATGTTGTCTATCTGGTGGAATTGGAAGGAGGAATGGTGATTGAAAGTGATGTTGTCTATCTGGTGGAATTGGAAGGAGGAATGGTGATTGAAAGTGATGTTGTCTATCTGGTGGAATTGGAAGGAGGAATGGTGATTGAAAGTGATGTTGTCTATCTGGTGGAATTGGAAGGAGGAATGGTGATTGAAAGTGATGTTGTCTATCTGGTGGAATTGGAAGGAGGAATGGTGATTGAAAGTGATGTTGTCTATCTGGTGGAATTGGAAGGAGGAATGGTGATTGAAAGTGATGTTGTCTATCTGGTGGAATTGGAAGGAGGAATGGTGATTGAAAGTGATGTTTGATCTGGTGGAATTGGAAGGAGGAATGGTGATTGAAAGTTGTTGTCTATCTGGTGGAATTGGAAGGAGGAATGGTGATTGAAAGTGATGTTGTCTATCTGTTGGAATTGGAAGGAGGAATCTGATTGAAAGTGACTTTGGTGGAATTGGAAGGAGGAATGGTGATTGAAAGTGATGTTGTCTATCTGGTGGAATTGGAAGGAGGAATGGTGATTGAAAGTGATGTTGTCTATCTGGTGGAATTGGAAGGAGGAATGGTGATTGAAAGTGATGTTGTCTATCTGGTGGAATTGGAAGGAGGAATGGTGATTGAAAGTGATGTTGTCTATCTGGTGGAATTGGAAGGAGGAATGGTGATTGAAAGTGATGTTGTCTATCTGGTGGAATTGGAAGGAGAATGGTGATTGAAAGTGATGTTGTCTATCTGGTGGAATTGGAAGGAGGAATGGTGATTGAAAGTGATGTTGTCTATCTGGTGGAATTGGAAGGAGGAATGGTGATTGAAAGTGATGTTGTCTATCTGGTGGAATTGGAAGGAGGAATGGTGATTGAAAGTGATGTTGTCTATCTGGTGGAATTGGAAGGAGGAATGGTGATTGAAAGTGATGTTGTCTATCTGGTGGAATTGGAAGGAGGAATGGTGATTGAAAGTGATGTTGTCTATCTGGTGGAATTGGAAGGAGGAATGGTGATTGAAAGTGATGTTTGTCTATCTGGTGGAATTGGAAGGAGGAATGGTGATTGAAAGTGATGTTGTCTATCTGGTGGAATTGGAAGGAGGAATGGTGATTGAAAGTGATGTTTGTATCTATCTGGTGGAATTGGAAGGAGGAAATGGTGATTGAAAGTGATGTTGTCTATCTGGTGGAATTGGAAGGAGGAATGGTGATTGAAAGTGATGTTGTCTATCTGGTGGGAAGAAGGAAATGGTGATTGAAAGTGATGTTGTCTATCTGGTGGAATTGGAAGGAGGAATGGTGATTGAAAGTGATGTTGTCTATCTGGTGGAATTAGAAGGAGGAATGGTGATTGAAAGTGATGTTGTCTATCTGGTGGAATTGGAAGGAGGAATGGTGATTGAAAGTGATGTTTGCTATCTGGTGGAATTGGAAGGAGGAATGGTGATTGAAAGTGATGTTGTCTATCTGGTGGAATTGGAAGGAGGAATGGTGATTGAAAGTGATGTTGTCTATCTGGTGGAATTGGAAGGAGGAATGGTGATTGAAAGTGATGTTCTCTATCTGGTGGAATTGGAAGGAGGAATGGTGATTGAAAGTGATGTTGTCTATCTGGTGGAATTGGAAGGAGGAATGGTGATTGAAAGTGATGTTGTCTATCTGGTGGAATTGGAAGGAGGAATGGTGATTGAAAGTGATGTTGTCTATCTGGTGGAATTGGAAGGAGGAATGGTGATTGAAAGTGACGTTTGCTATCTGGTGGAATTGGAAGGAGGAATGGTGATTGAAAGTGACGTTTGCTATCTGGTGGAATTGGAAGGAGGAATGGTGATTGAAAGTGATGTTGTCTATCTGGTGGAATTGGAAGGAGGAATGGTGATTGAAAGTGATGTTGTCTATCTGGTGGAATTGGAAGGAGGAATGGTGATTGAAAGTGATGTTGTCTATCTGGTGGAATTGGAAGGAGGAATGGTGACGATTGAAAGTGATGTTGTCTATCTGGTGGAATTGGAAGGAGGAATGGTGATTGAAAGTGATGTTTGTCTATCTGGTGGAATTGGAAGGAGGAATGGTGATTGAAAGTGATGTTGTCTATCTGGTGGAATTGGAAGGAGGAATGGTGATTGAAAGTGATGTTGTCTATCTGGTGGAATTGGAAGGAGGAATGGTGATTGAAAGTGATGTTGTCTATCTGGTGGAATTGGAAGGAAGGAATGGTGATTGAAAGTGATGTTGTCTATCTGGTGGAATTGGAAGGAGGAATGGTGATTGAAAGTGATGTTTGCTATCTGGTGGAATTGGAAGGAGGAATGGTGATTGAAAGTGATGTTGTCTATCTGGTGGAATTGGAAGGAGAATGGTGATTGAAAGTGATGTTGTCTATCTGGTGGAATTGGAAGGAGGAATGGTGATTGAAAGTGATGTTTGCTATCTGGTGGAATTGGAGGGAGGAATGGTGATTGAAAGTGACTTTGCTATCTGGTGGAATTGGAAGGAGAATGGTGATTGAAAGTGATGTTGTCTATCTGGTGGAATTGGAAGGAGGAATGGTGATTGAAAGTGATGTTGTCTATCTGGTGGAATTGGAAGGAGGAATGGTGATTGAAAGATGTTGTCTATCTGGTGGAATTGGAAGGAAGAATGGTGATTGAAAGTGATGTTGTCTCTGGTCTGGTGGTGATTGAAAGATTGGAAGGAGGAATGGTGATTGAAAGTGATGTTGTCTATCTGGTGGAATTGGAAGGAGGAATGGTGATTGAAAGTGATGTTGTCTATCTGGTGGAATTGGAAGGAGGAATGGTGATTGAAAGTGATGTTGTGCTATCTGGTGGAATTGGAAGGAGGAATGGTGATTGAAAGTGATGTTGTCTATCTGGTGGAATTGGAAGGAGGAATGATGATTGAAAGTGATGTTGTCTATCTGGTGGAATTGGAAGGAGAATGGTGATTGAAAGTGATGTTGTCTATCTGGTGGAATTGGAAGGAGGAATGGTGATTGAAAGTGATGTTGTCTATCTGGTGGAATTGGAAGGAGGAATGGTGATTGAAAAAAGTGATGTTGTCTATCTGGTGGAATTGGAAGGAGGAATGGTGATTGAAAGTGATGTTGTCTATCTGGTGGAATTGGAAAGGATGTTAATGGTGATTGGAATGGTGATTGAAAGTGTCTATCTGGTGGAATTGGAAGGAGGAATGGTGATTGAAAGTGATGTTGTCTATCTGGTGGAATTGGAAGGAGAATGGTGATTGAAAGTGACGTTTGCTATCTGGGTGGAATTGGAAGGAGGAATGGTGATTGAAAGTGATGTTGTCTATCTGGTGGAATTGGAAGGAGGAATGGTGATTGGAAAGTGATGTTGTTGTCTATCTGGTGGGAAGGAGGATTGAAAGGACGTTACATTCAGGAATTGGAAGGAGAATGATGATTGAATTAGAAGGAGGAATGGTGATTGAAAGTGATGTTGTCTATCTGGTGGAAATGGAAGGAGGAATGGTGATTGAAAGTGATGTTGTCTATCTGGTGGAATTGGAAGGAGGAATGGTGATTTTGAAAAGTGACGTTTGCTATCTGGTGGAATTGGAAGGAGGAATGGTGATTGAAAGATGTTGTCTATCTGGTGGAATTGAAGGAGGAATCTATCTGGTGGAATTGGAAGGAGGAAATGGTGATTGAAAGTGATGTTGTCTATCTGGTGGAATTGGAAGGAGGAATGGTGATTGAAAGTGATGTTGTCTATCTGGTGGAATTGGAAGGAGGAATGGTGATTGAAAGTGATGTTGTCTATCTGGTGGAATTGGAAGGAGGAATGGTGAATGAAAGTGATGTTGTCTATCTGGTGGAATTGGAAGGAGGAATGGTGAATGAAAGTGATGTTGTCTATCTGGTGGAATTGGAAGGAGGAATGGTGATTGAAAGTGACGTTTGCTATCTGGTGGAATTGGAAGGAGGAATGGTGATTAAAGATGATGTTGTCTATCTGGTGGAATTGGAAGGAGGAATGGGTGATTGAAAGTGATGTTGTCTATCTGGTGGAATTGGAAGGAGGAATGGCAGGATTTTGAAAAGTGATGTTTCTATCTGGTGGAATTGAAGGAGAATGGTGATTGAAAAAGTGATGTTGTCTATCTGGTGGAATTGGAGGATGAATGGTAGATTGAAAGTGACGTTTGTTATCTCAGGAATTGGAAGGAGGAATGGTGATGTTGTCTATCTGGTGGAAGTGACGTTTTGAAAGTGATGTTGTCTATCTGGTGGAATGGAAGGAGAATGGTGATTGAAAGACATTTGCTATCTGGTGGAATTGGAAGGAGGAATGGTGATTGAAAGTGATGTTGTCTATCTGGTGGGAATACTATCTGGTGGAATTGGAAGGAGGGTGATTGAAAGTGGTGATTGAAAAGTGATGTTGTCTATCTGGTGGAATTGGAAGGAGGAATGGTGATTGAAAGTGATGTTTGCTATCTGGTGGAATTGGAAGAAGGAATGGTGATTGAAAGTGATGTTGTCTATCTGGAATTGGAAGGAGGAACAAGATTGAGAAGTGATGTTGTCTATCTGGTGGAATTGGAAGGAGGAATGGTGATTGAAAGTGATGTTGTCTATCTGGTGGAATGGAAGGAGGAATGGTGATTGAAAGTGATGTTTGCTATCTGGGTGGAGATTGGAAGGACGTTTGCTATGGTGGAATTGGAAGTGATGTTGTCTTGGTCTGTCTATTGGTGGAATTGGAAGGAGGAATGGTGATTGAAAGATGTTGCTCATTCTGGAATGGGAAGGAAAGAATGGTGATTGAAAGTGATGTTGTCTATCTGGTGGAATTGGAAGGAGGAATGGTGATTGAAAGTGACGTTTGCTATCTAATGGAATTGGAAGGAGGAATGGTGATTGAAAGTGATACATCTATCTGGTGGAATTGAAGGAGGAATGGTGATTGAAAAGTGATGTTGTCTATCTGGTGGAAGGAGGAAAATGGTGGAAAGTGATGTTGTTCATTCCTGGAAGGAGGAATGATTGAAAGTGATGTTGTTATCTGGTGGAATTGGAAGGAGGAATGGTGATTGAAAGTGATGTTGTCTATCTGGTGGAATTGGAAGGAATAGTGATTGAAAAGACGTTTGTATCTGGTGGAATTGGAAGGAGGAATGGTGATTGAAAGATGTTGTCTATCTGGTGGAATTGGAAGGAGGAATGGTGATTGAAAGTGATGTTGTCTATCTGGTGGAATTGGAAGGAGGAAATGGTGATTGAAAGTGACGTTTGCTATCTGGTGGAATTGGAAGGAGGAATGGTGATTGAAAGTGATGTTGTCTATCTGGTGGAATTGGAAGGAGGAATGGTGATTGAGTGATGTTGTGGTGATTGAAGTGACGTTTGCTATCTGGTGGAATTGGAAGGAGGAATGGTGATTGAAAGTGATGTTGTCTATCTGGTGGAATTGGAAGGAGGAATGGTGATTGAAAGTGATGAATCTGGGTGATTGGAAAGTGATTGAAAATGTTGTCTATCTGGTGGAATTGGAAGGAGGAATGGTGATTGAAAGTGATATTTGTCTATCTGGTGGAATTGGAAGGAATGGTGATTGAAAGTGACGTTGGTTCTGGTGAGAATTGGAAGGAGGATGGTGATTGAAAGCCCCAGGTGAATTGGAAGGAGGAATGGTGATTGAAAGTGATGTTTGCTATCTGGTGGAATTGTTGATTGAAAGATGTTGTATCTGGTGGAATTGGAAGGAGGAATGGTGATTGGAAAGTGATGTTGTCTATCTGGTGGAATTGGAAGGAGGAATGGTGATTGAAAGTGACGTTTGATCTGGTGGAATTGGAAGGAGGATGGTGATTGAAAGTGACGTTTCATACTTATGGAAATGGAAGGAGGAATGGTGATTGAAAGTGATGTTGTCTTCATTCTGGTGGAATTGGAAGGAGGAATGGTGATTGAAAGTGACGTTTGCTATCTGGTGGAATTGGAAGGAATGGTGATTGAAAGTGACGTTTTCTACCTGGTGGAATTGGAAGGAGGAATGGTGATTGAAAGTGACGTTTGTTATCTGGGGAATTGGAAGGAGGAATGGTGTTGAAAGTGATGGTTGTCTATCTGGTGGAATTGGAAGGAAATGGTGATTGAAAGTTTGCTATCTGGTGGAATTGGAAGGAGAATGGTGATTGAAAGTGATGTTGTCTATCTGGTGGAATTGGAAGAGGAATGTGGTGATTGAAAGTGATGTTGTTCATCTCGTGGTGGAATTGGAAGGAGGAATGGTGATTGAAGGAGGAATGGTGATCTGGTGGAATTGGAAGGGAATGGTGATTGAAAAGGATAAGTTCTCTATCTGGGAATGGAAATTGGAAATGGTGATTGAAAGTGATGTTGTCTATCTGGGGTGGAATTGGAAGGAATGGTGATTAAAAGTGATGTTGTCTATCTGGTGGAATTGGAAGGAGGAATGGTGATTGAAATGTTTTCTACCACCTGACGTTGATTAAGTGATGTTCTCTATCTGGTGGAATTGGAAGGAGGAATGGTGATTGAAAGTGATGTTGTCTATCTGGTGGAATTGGAAGGAATGGTGATTGAAAAGACGTTTGCTATCTGGTGGGAATTGGAAGGAATGGTGATTGAAAGTGACGTTTATCTGAAAGAGGAGAATGATTGAAAGTGATGTTGTCTATCTGGTGGAATTGGAAGGAGGAATGGTGATTGAAAGTGATGTTGTCTATCTGGTGGAATTGGAAGGAGGAATGGTGATTGAAAGTGACGTTGTTCATCTGGTGGAATTGGAAGGAATGATGATTGAAAGTGATGTTGTCTATCTGGTGGAATTGGAAGGAGAATGGTGATTGAAAAGTGATGTTGTCTATCTTTGGTGGAATTGGAAGGAGAATGGATTGAAAGATGTTGTCTATCTGGTGGAATTGGAAGAGGAATGGTGATTGAAAAGGATGTTGTCTATCTGGTGGAATTGGAAGGAGGAATGGTGAATGAAAGTGATGTTCTATCTGGTGGAATTGGAAGGAGAATGGTGATTGAAAGTGATTTGTCTATCTGGTGATTGAAAAATGGTGACGAAAGTGATGTTGTCTATCTGGGTGGAATTGGAGGAATTGGTGATTACCAAAAAAGGAGAATGGGTGGAATTGAAAGATGATTGTTTGCTATCTGGTGGAATTGGAAGGAGGAATGGTGATTGAAAGTGATGTTTGCTGGTGAATTGGAAGGAATTGATTGAAGGAGGAATCTGGTGGAATTGGAAAGTGACGTTTAAGTGACGTTTTCTACCTGGTGGAATTGGAAGGAGAATGGTGATTGAAAGTGATGTTGTCTATCTGGTGGAATGGAAGAGAATGGAAAAGTGACGTTTTCTACCTGGGTGATTGAAAGGAATGATGTTGCCTATCTGGGTGAATTGGAAGGGAGGAATGGTGATTGAAGAGATGTTGTCTATCTGGTGGAATTGGAAGGAGAATTGAGATGTTGTCTATCTGGTGGAATTGGAAGGAGGAATGATTGAAGGCGTTTTGCTATCTGGTGGAATTGGAAGGAGAATGGTGATTAGAAGGAGGAATGGAAGATGAAAAGTGACGTTTGCTATCTGGTGGAATTGGAAGGAGGAATGGTGATTGAAAGTGATGTTGTCTATCTGGTGGAATTGGAAGGAGGAATGGTGATTGAAAGTGATTGTCTATCTTGGAAGGAGGAATGTGGAATTGAAAGGAGGAATGGTGATTGAAAGTGATGTTGTCTATCTGGTGGAAGGAGGAATGGTGATTGAAAGTGATGTTGTCTATCTGGTGGAAATTGGAAGGAGGAAATGGTGATTGAAAGTGATGTTCTCTATCTGGTGGAATTGGAAGGAGATGGTGATTGAAAGTGATGTTGTCTATCTGGTGGAATTGGAAGGAGGAATGGTGATTGAAAGTGATGTTTTCTATCTGGTGGAATTGGAAGGAGGAATGGTGATTGAAAGTGACGTTTGCTATCTGGTGGAATTGGAAGGAGGAATGGTGATTGAAAGTGATGTTGTCTATCTGGTGGAATTGGAAGGAGGAATGGTGATTGAAAGTGATGTTGTCTATCTGGTGGAATTGGAAGGAGGAATGGTGATTGAATGTGATGTTGTCTATCTGGTGGAATTGGAAGGAGGAATGGTGATTGAAAGTGATGTTGTCTATCTGGTGGAATTGGAAGGAGGAATGGTGATTGAAAGTGATGTTGTCTATCTGGTGGAATTGGAAGGAGAATGGTGATTGAAAGTGATGTTGTCTATCTGGTGGAATTGGAAGGAGGAATGGTGATTGAAAGTGATGTTGTCTATCTGGTGGAATTGGAAGGAGAATGGTGATTGAAAGTGATGTTGTCTATCTGGTGGAAAGGAGGAATGGTGATTAGAAAGTGATGGATCTGTGGAATTAGAAGGAGGAATGGTAATTGAAAAGAATGTTTGTCTATCTGGTGGAATTGGAAGGAGGAATGGTGATTGAAAGTGATGTTGTCTATCTGGTGGAATTGAAGGAGGTGAATGACGTTTCTATTGAAAGGAGATGTTGTCTATCTGGTGGGAATTAGAAGGAGGAATGGTTGATTGGTGGAAGACAGGAATGATGTTGAAAGTATCTCCCTGGTGGAATTGGAAGGAGGAATGGTGATTGAAAGTGATGTTTGCTATCTGGTGGAATGGAAGGAGAATGGTGATTGAAAGTGATGTTGTCTATCTGGTGGAATTGGAAGGAGGAATGGTGATTGAAAGTGACGTTTGTCTCCTCTTGGGTGGAAGGAATTGGTGAGGAGGATCTGGTGGAATTGGAAGGAATGGTGAAAAAGTGATGTTGTCTATCTGGTGGAATTGGAAGGAGGAATGGCATTGAAAGTGATGTTGTCTATCTGGTGAATCTTTGCTATCTGGTGGAATTGGAAGGAGGAATGGTGATTGAAAGTGATGTTGTCTATCTGGTGGAATTGGAAGGAGGAATGATTGAAAAGTGATGTTGTCTATCTGGTGGAATTAGGAAGGAGGAATGGTGATTGAAAGTGATGTTGTCTATCTGGTGGAATTGGAAGGAGGAATGGTGATTGAAAAATGTGATGAAAGTGTCTATCTGGTGGAATTGGAAGGAGGAATGTGATTGAAAGTGATGTTGTCTATCTGGTGGAATTGAAGGAGGAATGGTGATTGAAAGTGATGTTCTCTATCTGGTGGAATTGGAAGGAGGAATGGTGATTGAAAGTGATGTTGTCTATCTGGTGGAATTGGAAGGAGGAATGGTGATTGAAAGTGATGTTTCTATCTGGTGGAATTGGAAGGAGGATGGTGATTTGATGTTGTCTATCTGGTAAGAAGAGGAATGGTGATTGAAAGTGATGTTGTCTATCTGGTGGAATTGGAAGGAATCCTGGTGAATTAGAAGGAGGAATGGTATTGAAAGGATGTTCTATCTGGTGGAATTGGAAGGAGGAATGGTGATTGAAAGTGATGTTGTCTATCTGGTGGAATTGGAAGGAGGAAAAGTGGTGATTGGTGGAATGGAAAGGAATGATGTTCTCTATCTGGTGGAATTGGAAGAGGAATGGTGATTGAAAAGGAGAAATGGTGATGTTGTCTATCTGGTGGAATTGGAAGGAGGAATGGTGATTGAAAGTGATGTTTGCTATCTGGTCGAATGGGAATTGGAAGAGAAAGGAATGATGATTGTCTCCCTGGTGGAATTGTGGTGATTGTCTATCTGGTGGAATTGGTAGGAGGAATGGTGATTGAAAGTGATGTTGTCTATCTGGTGGAATTGGAAGGAGGAATGCAGGATTGAAAGCGACGTTTTGGGTGGATTGAAAGTGATGTTGAAAGTGATGTTGTTCCTGGTGGAATTGGAAGGAGGAATGGTGATTGAAAGTGATGTTGTCTATCTGGTGGAATTGGAAGAGAAATGGTGATTGAAAGTGATGTTTACTATCTGGTGGAATTGGAAGGAGGAATGGTGATTGAAAGTGATGTTGTCTATCTGGTGGAATTGGAAGGAGGAATGGTGATTGAAAGTGATGTTGTCTATCTGGTGGAATTGAAGGAGGAATGGTGATTGAAAGTGATGTTGTCTATCTGGTGGAATTGGAAGAAGGAGGAATGGTGATTGGTGGAAAAGTGATGTTTGAAAGATCTTGTGGGAATTGGAAGGAGGAATGGTGATTGAAAGTGATGTTGTCTATCTGGTGGAATTGGAAGGAGGAATGGTGATTGAAAGTGATGTTTGCTATCTGGAATGGAATTTTCTGGAAGGAGGAATGGTGATTGAAAAGTGATGTTGTCTCATCTGGTGGAATTGGAAGGAGGAATGGTGATTGAAAGTGATGTTGTCTATCTGGTGGAATTGGAAGGAGGAATGGTGATTGAAAGTGATGTTGTCTATCTGGTGGAATTGGAAGGAGGAATGGGTGATTGAAAGTGATGTTGTCTATCTGGTGGAATTGGAAGAGGAATGGTGATTGAAAGTGATGTTTGTCTATCTGGTGGAATTGGAAGGAGGAATGGTGATTGAAAGTGATGTTTGCTATCTGGTGGAATTGGAAGGAGGAATGGTGATTGAAAGTGATGTTGTCTATCTGGTGGAATTGGAAGGAGGAATGGTGATTGAAAGTGATGTTGTCTATCTGGTGAATTGGAAGGAGGAATGGTGATTGAAAGTGATGTTTGCTATCTGGTGGAATTGGAAGGAGGAAATGGTGATTGAAAAGTGATGTTGTCTATCATCTGGTGGAATTGGAAGGAGGAATGGTGATTGAAAGTGATGTTGTCTATCTGGTGGAATTGGAAGGAGAATGGTGATTGAAAGTGATGTTGTCTATCTGGTGATGGAATTGGAAGGAGGAATGGTGATTGAAAGTGATGTTTCTATCTGGTGGAATTAGAAGGAGGAATGGTGATTGAAAGTGATGTTGTCTATCTGGTGGAAGGAATGGATTGAAAGATGTTGTCTATCTGAATGGTGATTGGAAAGTGATGTTGTTTCATCTGGTGGAATTGGAAGGAGGAATGGTGATTGAAAGTGACGTTTGCTATCTGGTGGAATTGGAAGGAGGAATGGTGATTGAAAGTGATGTTCTCTATCTGGTGGAATTGGAAGGAGGAATGGTGATTGAAAGTGATGTTGTCTATCTGGTGGAATTGGAAGGAGGAGTGGTGAAGGAGGAATGGTGATTGAAGTGATGTTGTCTATCTGGTGGAATTGGAAGGAGGAATGGTGATTGAAAGTGATGTTGTCTATCTGGTGGAATTGGAAGGAGGAATGGTGATTGAAAGTGATGTTGTCTATCTGGTGGAATTGGAAGGAGGAATGGTGAATGAAAGTGATGTTGTCTATCTGGTGGAATTGGAAGGAGGAATGGTGATTGAAAGTGATGTTGTCTATCTGGTGGAATTGGAAGGAGGAATGGTGATTGAAAGTGATGTTGTCTATCTGGTGGAATTGAATGGAGGAATGGTGATTGGAAAGTGATGTTGTCTATCTGGTGGAATTGGAAGGAGGAATGGTGATTGAAAGTGATGTTTGTCTATCTGGTGGAATTGAAGGAGGAATGGTGATTGAAGTGATGTTGTCTATCTGGTGGAATTGGAAGGAGGAATGGTGATTGAAAAAGATGTTGTCTATCTGGTGGAATTGGAAGGAGGAATGGTGATTGAAAGTGATGTTTATTCCTCTGGTGGAATTGGAAGGAAAGTGATGTTGAATCTGGTGGAATTGGAAGGAGGAATGGTGATTGAAAGTGATGTTCTATCTGGTGGAATTGGAAGGAGGAATGGTGATTGAAAGTGATGTTGTCTATCTGGTGGAATTGGAAGGAGGAATGGTGATTGAAAGTGATGTTGTCTAATCTGGTGTTGTCTCTATTGGAAGGAAGGAGGAATGGTGATTGAAAGTGATGTTGTCTATCTGGTGGAATTGGAAGGAGGAATGGTGATTGAAAGTGATGTTGTCTATCTGGTGGAATTAGAAGGAGGAATGGTGATTGAAAGTGATGTTGTCTATCTGGTGGAATTGGAAGGAGGAATGGTGATTGAAAGTGATGTTGTCTATCTGGTGGAATTGGAAGGATGAATGGTGATTGAAAGTGATGTTGTCTATCTGGTGGAATTGGAAGGAGGAATGGTGATTGAAAGTGATGTTGTCTATCTGGTGGAATTGGAAGGAGGAATGGTGATTGAAAGTGATGTTGTCTATCTGGTGGAAATTGGAGAATGGTGATTGAAAGTGATGTGTCCTATCTGGTGGAATTGAAAGGAATGATGATTGAAAAGATGTTGTCTATCTGGTGGAATTGGAAGGAGGAATGGTGATTGAAAGTGATGTTGTCTATCTGGTGGAATTGGAAGGAGGAATGGTGATTGAAAGTGATGTTGTCTTTCTGGTGGAATTGGAAGGAGGAATGGTGATTGAAAGTGATGTTGTCTATCTGGTGGAATTGGAAGGAGGAATGGTGATTGAAAGTGATGTTGTCTATCTGGTGGGAATTGGAAGGAGGAATGGTGATTGAAAGTGATGTTGTCTATCTGGTGGAATTGAAGGGAGGAATGGTGATTGAAAGGATGATCTGGTGGAATTGGAAGGAGATGGTGATTGAAAGATGTTGTCTATCTGGTGGAATTGGAAGGAGGAATGGTGATTGAAAGTTGTCTATCTGGTGGAATTGGAAGGAAGGTGATTGAATGGTGATTGGAAGGAGGAATGGTGATTGTTGTTGTCTATCTGGTGGAATTGGAAGGAGGAATGGTGATTGAAAGTGATGTTGTCTATCTGGTGGAATTGGAAGGAGGAATGGTGATTGAAAGTGATGTTTGTCTATCTGGTGGAATTGGAAGGAGGAATGGTGATTGAAAGTTGTTGTCTATCTGGTGGAATTGAAGGAGGAATGGTGATTGAAAGTGACGTTATCTGGTGGAATTGGAAGGAGAATGGTGATTGAAAGTGATGTTGTCTATCTGGTGGAATTGGAAGGAGGAATGGTGATTGAAAGTGATGTTGTCTATCTGGTGGAATTGAAGGAGGAATGGTGATTGAAAGTGATGTTGTCTATCTGGTGGAATTGGAAGGGAAGGAGGAATGGTGATTGAAAGTGATGTTGTCTATCTGGTGGAATTGGAAGGAGGAATGGTGATTGAAAAGTGATGTTGTCTATCTGGTGGGAATTGGAAGGAGGAATGGTGATTGAAAGTGATGTTGTTGTCTGGTGGAATTGGGTGAGGAATGGTGATTGAAAGATGTTGTCTATCTGGTGGAATTGGAAGGAGAATGAAAGTGATGTTGTCTATCTGGTGGAATTGGAAGGAGGAATGGTGAATGAAAGTGATGTTGTCTATCTGGTGGAATTGGAAGGAGGAATGGTGAATGAAAGTGATGTTGTCTATCTGGTGGAAAGGGAAGGTGATTGAAAGTGATGTTGTCTATCTGGTGGAATTGGAAGGAGGAATGGTGATTGAAAGTGATGTTGTCTATCTGGTGGAATTGGAAGGAGGAATGGTGATTGAAAGTGATGTTTGCTATCTGGTGGAATTGGAAGGAGGAATGGTGATTGAAAGTGATGTTGTCTATCTGGTGGAATTGGAAGGAGGAATGGTGATTGAAAGTGATGTCTATCTATCTGGAAATTGGAGGAGAATGGTGATTGAAAGTGATGTTGTCTATCTGGTGGAATTGGAAGGAGGAATGGTGATTGAAAGTGAATCTGGTGGAATTTGGTGATATCTGGTGGAATTGGAAGGAGGAATGGTGATTGAAAGTGATGTTGTCTATCTGGTGGAATTGGAAGGAGGAATGGTGATTGAAAGTGATGTTGTCTATCTGGTGGAATTGGAAGGAAATGGTGATTGAAAGTGATGTTGTCTATCTGGTGGAATTGAAGGAGGAATGGTGATTGAAAGTTGTTTATCTGGTGGAATTGGAAGGAGGAATGGATTGAAAGTGATGTTGTCTATCTGGTGAAATTGAAGGAGGGAATGGTGATGTTTGTCTATCTGGTGGAATTGGAAGGAGGAATGGTGATTGAAAGTGATGTTTTCATCTGGTGGAATTGGAAGGAGGAATGGTGATTGAAAGGAAGGAGAAATGATGTTGTCTATCTGGTGGAATTGGAAGGAGGAATGGTGATTGAAAGTGATGTTGTCTATCTGGTGGAATTGGAAGGAGGAATGGTGATTGAAAGTGATGTTGTCTATCTGGTGGAATTGGAAGGAGGAATGGTGATTGAAAGTGATGTTGTCTATCTGGTGGAATTAGAAGGAGGAATGGTGATTGAAAGTGACGTTTGCTATCTGGTGGAATTGGAAGGAAGGATTGAATGATGTGTCTTGAAAGGTGATGTTGTCTATCTGGTGGAATTGGAAGGAGGAATGGTGATTGAAAGTGATGTTGTCTATCTGGTGGAATTGGAAGGAGGAATGGTGATTGAAAGTGATGTTGTCTATCTGTTGTCTATCTGGTGGAATTGGAAGGAGGAATGGTGATTGAAAGTGATGTTGTCTATCTGGTGGAATTGGAAGGAGGAATGGTGATTGAAAGTGATGTTGTTATCTGGTGGAATTGGAAGGAGGAATATGGTGATTGGAAAGTGAAAGGAGGAATGGGAAGGAGGAATTTGAAAGTGATGTTGTTATCTGGTGGAATTGGAAGGAGGAATGGTGATTGAAAGTGATGTTGTCTATCTGGTGGAATTGGAGAAGGGAGGAAATGGTGATTGAAAGGAGACGTTTGCTATCTGGTGGAATTGGAAGGAGGAATGGTGATTGAAAGTGATGTTGTCTATCTGGTGGAATTGGAAGGAGGAATGGTTTGAAAGTGATGTTGTCTATCTGGTGGAATTGGAAGGAGGAATGGTGATTGAAAGTGATGTTGTCTATCTGGTGGAATTGGAAGGAGGAATGGTGATTGAAAGTGATGTTGTCTATCTGGTGGAATTGGAAGGAGGAATGGTGATTGAAAGTGATGTTGTCTATCTGGTGGAATTGGAAGGAGGAATGGTGATTGAAAGTGATGTTGTCTATCTGGTGGAATTGGAAGGAATGGTGATTGAAAGTGATGTTGTCTATCTGGTGGAATTGGAAGGAGGAATGGTGATTGAAAGTGATGTTGTCTATCTGGTGGAATTGGAAGGAGGAATGGTGATTGATCTATCTGGTGGAATTGGAATTGGAAGGAGGAATGGTGATTGAAAGTGATTGAAAGTGATGTTGTCTATCTGGTGGAATTGGAAGGAGGAATGGTGATTGAAAGTGATGTTTGTCTATCTGGTGGAATTGGAAGAGGAAATGGTGATTGAAAGATGTTGTTCATGGTGAATGAAAGAATGATGATTGTGATGTTGTCTATCTGGTGGAATTGGAAGGAGGAAATGGTGATTGAAAGTGATGTTGTCTATCTGGTGGAATTGGAAGGAGGAATGGTGATTGAAAGTGATGTTGTCTATCTGGTGGAATTGGAAGGAGGAATGGTGATTGAAAGTGATGTTGTCTATCTGGTGGAATTGGAAGGAGGAATGGTGATTGAAAGTGATGTTGTCTATCTGGTGGAATTGGAAGGAGGAATGGTGATTGAAAGTGATGTTGTCTATCTGGTGGAATTGGAAGGAGGAATGGTGATTGAAAGTGATGTTGTCTATCTGGTGGAATTGGAAGGAGAATGGTGATTGAAAGTGATGTTGTCTATCTGGTGGAATTGGAAGGAGGAATGGTGATTGAAAGTGATGTTGTCTATCTGGTGGAATTGGAAGGAGGAATGGTGGAGGAGGAATGGTGATTGAAAGTGATGTTGTCTATCTGGTGGAATTGGAAGGAGGAATGGTGATTGAAAGTGATGTTGTCTATCTGGTGGAATTGGAAGGAGGAATGGTGATTGAAAGTGATGTTGTCTATCTGGTGGAATTGGAAGGAGGAATGGTGATTGAAAGTGATGTTGTCTATCTGGTGGAATTGGAAGGAGGAATGGTGATTGAAAGTGGTTGTCTATCTGGTGGAATTGGAAGGATGTGGTGATTGAAAGTGATGTTGTCTGGGTGGAATTGGAAGGAGGAATGGTGATTGAAAGTGATGTTGTCTATCTGGTGGAATTGGAAGGAGGAATGGTGATTGAAAGTGATGTTGTCTATCTGGTGGAATTGGAAGGAGGAATGGTGATTGAAAGTGATGTTGTCTATCTGGTGGAATTGGAAGGAGGAATGGTGATTGAAAGTGATGTTGTCTATCTGGTGGAATTGGAAGGAGGAAATGGTGATTGAAAGTGATGTTGTCTATCTGGTGGAATTGGAAGGAAAATGGTGATTGAAAGTGATGTTGTCTATCTGGTGGAATTGGAAAGGAATGGTGATTGAAAGTGATGTTGTCTATCTGGTGGAATTGGAAGGAGGAAATGGTGATTGAAAGTGATGTTGTCTATCTGGTGGAATTGGAAGGAGGAATGGTGATTGAAAGTGATGTTGTCTATCTGGTGGAATTGGAAGGGAAAGATGGTGATTGAAAGTGATGTTGTCTATCTGGTGGAATTGGAAGGAGGAATGGTGATTGAAAGTGATGTTGTTCTATCTGGTGGAATTGGAAGGAGGAATGGTGATTGAAAGTGATGTTGTCTATCTGGTGGAATTGGAAGGAGGAATGGTGATTGAAAGTGATGTTGTCTATCTGGTGGAATTGGAAGGAGGAATGGTGATTGAAAGTGATGTCTATCTGGTGGAATTGGAAGGAGGAATGGTGATTGAAAGTGATGTTGTCTATCTGGTGGAATTGGAAGGAATGGTGATTGAAAGTGATGTTTGTCTATCTGGTGGAATTGGAAGGAGGAATGGTGATTGAAAGTGATGTTGTCTATCTGGTGGAATTGGAAGGAGGAATGGTGATTGAAAGTGATGTTGTCTATCTGGTGGAATTGGAAGGAGAATGGTGATTGAAAGTGATGTTGTCTATCTGGTGGAATTGGAAGGAGGAATGGTGATTGAAAGTGATGTTGTCTATCTGGTGGAATTGGAAGGAGATTGAAAGTGGTGATTGAAAGTGATGAATGGTGATTGAAAGTATCTGGTGGAATTGGAAGGAGGAATGGTGATTGAAAGTGATGTTGTCTATCTGGTGGAATTGGAAGGAGGAATGGTGATTGAAAGTGATGTTCTCTATCTGGTGGAATTGGAAAGGAGGAATGGTGATTGAAAGTGATGTTGTCTTTCTGGTGGAATTGGAAGGAGGAATGGTGATTGAAAGTGATGTTGTCTATCTGGTGGAATTGGAAGGAGGAATGGTGATTGAAAGTGATGTTCTCTATCTGGTGGAATTGGAAAGGAGGAATGGTGATTTGTCTATCTGAAAGTGATGTTGTCTATCTGGTGGAATTGGAAGGAGGAATGGTGATTGAAAGTGATGTTGTCTTTCTGGTGGAATTGGAAGGAGGAATGGTGATTGAAAGTGATGTTGTCTATCTGGTGGAATTGGAAGGAGGAATGGTGATTGAAAGTGATGTTGTCTATCTGGTGGAATTGGAAGGAGGAATGGTGATTGAAAGTGATGTTGTCTATCTGGTGGAATTGGAGAATGGTGGAAGGAGGAATGGTGATTGAAATTGAAAGTGATGTTGTCTATCTGGTGGAATTGGAAGGAGGAATGGTGATTGAAAGTGATGTTTCTATCTGGTGGAATTGGTGGAGGAATTGGAAGGAAAGGATGTTGTCTATGGTGATTGAAAGGAAATGATGAAAGTGATTTTGTCTATCTGGTGGAATTGGAAGGAGGAATGGTGATTGAAAGTGATGTTGTCTATCTGGTGGAATTGGAAGGAGGAATGGTGATTGAAAGTGATGTTGTCTATCTGGTGGAATTGGAAGGAGGAATGGTGATTGAAAGTGATGTTGTCTATCTGGTGGAATTAGAAGGAGGAATGGTGATTGAAAGTGATGTTGTCTATCTGGTGGAATTAGAAGGAGGAATGGTGAAAAGTGGTTGTCAATCTGGAATTGGAGGAATGGTGATTGAAAGTGATGTTGTCTATCTGGTGGAATTTGAAGGAGGAATGGTGATTGAAAGTGATGTTGTCTATCTGGTGGAATTGGAAGGAGGAATGGTGATTGAAAGTGATGTTGTCTATCTGGTGGAATTGGAAGGAGGAATGGTGATTGAAAGTGATGTTGTCTATCTGGTGGAATTGGAAGGAGGAATGGTGATTGAAAGTGATGTTGTCTATCTGGTGGAATTGGAAGGAGGAATGGTGATTGAAAGTGATGTTGTCTATCTGGTGGAAAAGTGATGTTGTCTATCTGGTGAATTGGAATGGTGATTGAAAGTGATGTTGTCTATCTGGTGGAATTGGAAGGAGGAATGGTGATTGAAAGTGATGTTGTCTATCTGGAATTGGAAGGAGGAATGGTGATTGAATGTGATGTTGTCTATCTGGTGGAATTGGAAGGAGGAATGGTGATTGAATGTGATGTTGTCTATCTGGTGGAATTGGAATGGTGATTGAAAGTGATGTTGTCTATCTGGAAATTGGAAGGATGAATTGAAAAAGTGATGTTGTCTATCTGGTGGAATTGGAAGGAGGAATGGTGATTGAAAGTGATGTTGTCTATCTGGTGGAATTGGAAGGAGGAATGGTGATTGAAAGTGATGTTGTCTATCTGGTGGAATTGGAAGGAGGAATGGTGATTGAAAGTGATGTTGTCTATCTGGTGGAATTGGAAGGAGGAATGGTGATTGAAAGTGATGTTGTCTATCTGGTGGAATTGGAAGGAGGAATGGTGATTGAAAGTGATGTTGTCTATCTGGTGGAATTGGAAGGAGGAATGGTGATTGAAAGTGATGTTGTCTATCTGGTGGAATTGGAAGGAGGAATGGTGATTGAAAGTGATGTTGTCTATCTGGTGAATTGGAAGGAGGAATGGTGATTGAAAGTGATGTTGTCTATCTGAATTGAAGGAGGAATGGTGATTTGTTGTCTATCTGGTGGAATTGGAAGGAGGAATGGTGATTGAAAGTGATGTTGTCTATCTGGTGGAATTGGAAGGAGGAATGGTGATTGAAAGTGATGTTGTCTATCTGTGGAATTGGAATTGAGGAATGGTGATTGAAAGTGATGTTCTTTCTATCTGGTGGAATTGGAAGGAGGAATGGTGATTGAAAGTGATGTTGTCTATGGAATGGAATTGGAAGGAATTGGAAGAAATGGTGATTGAAAGTGATGTTGTCTATCTGGTGGAATTGGAAGGAGGAATGGTGATTGAAAGTGATGTTGTCTATCTGGTGGAATTGGAAGGAGGAATGGTGATTGAAAGTGATGTTGTCTATCTGGTGGAATTGGAAGGAGGAATGGTGATTGAAAGTGATGTTGTCTATCTGGTGGAATTGGAAGGAGGAATGGTGATTGAAAGTGATGTTGTCTATCTGGTGGAATTGGAAGGGAATGGTGATTGAAAGTGATGTTGTCTATCTGGTGGAATTGGAAGGAGGAATGGTGATTGAAAGTGATGTTGTCTATCTGGTGGAATTGGAAGGAGGAATGGTGATTGAAAGTGATGTTGTCTATCTGGTGGAATTGGAAGGAGGAATGGTGATTGAAAAGTGATGTTGTCTATCTGGTGGAATTGGAAGGAGGTGAATGAAAGTGTTGTCTATCTGGTGGAATTGGAAGGAGGAATGGTGATTGAAAGTGATGTTGTCTATCTGGTGGAATTGGAAGGAGGAATGGTGATTGAAAGTGATGTTGTCTATCTGGTGGAATTGGAAGGAGGAATGGTGATTGAAAGTGATGTTCTCTATCTGGTGGAATTGGAAGGAGGAATGGTGATTGAAAGTGACGTTTGCTATCTGGTGGAATTGGAGGAATGGTGATTGAAAGGATGTTGTCTATCTGGTGGAATTGAAGGAGGAATGGTGATTGAAAGTGATGTGGAAATTGTTTGAATCTGGTGGAATTGGAAGGAGGAATGGTGATTGAAAGTGATGTTGTCTATCTGGTGGAATTGGAAGGAGGAATGGTGATTGAAAGTGATGTTGTCTATCTGGTGGAATTGGAAGGAGGAATGGTGATTGAAAGTGATGTTGTCTATCTGGTGGAATTGGAAGGAGGAATGGTGATTGAAAGTGACGTTTTCTATCTGGTGGAATTAAGGAGGAAGGAGATTGAATGGTGATTGAAAGTGATGTTGTCTATCTGGTGGAATTGGAAGGAGGAATGGTGATTGAAAGTGATGTTGTCTATCTGGTGGAATTGGAAGGAGGAATGGTGATTGAAAGTGATGTTGTCTATCTGGTGGAAAGTGATGTTGTTCATCTGGTGAATTGGAAGGAGGAATGGGATGGTGATTGAAAGGAAGGAGGAATGATGTTGTCTATCTGGTGGAATTGGAAGGAGGAATGGTGATTGAAAGTGATGTTGTCTATCTGGTGGAATTGGAAGGAGGAATGGTGATTGAAAGATGTTGTCTATCTGGTGGAATTGGAAGGAAATGGTGATTGAAAGTGATGTTTGTCTATCTGGTGGAATTGGAAGGAGGAATGGTCTATCTGGTGGAATTGAAAGGAATGATGATTGTCTGTCTATCTGGTGGAATTGGAAGGAGGAATGGTGATTGAAAGTGATGTTGTCTATCTGGTGGAATTGGAAGGAGGAATGGTGATTGAAAGTGATGTTGTTTGCTATCTGGTGGAATTGGAAGGAGGAATGGTGATTGAAAGTGATGTTGTCTATCTGGTGGAATTGGAAGGAGGAATGGGTGATTGAAAGTGATGTTGTCTATCTGGTGGAATTGGAAGGAGGAATGGTGGAATGGAAAGTGATTGAAAGTTGTTGTCTATCTGGTGGAATTGGAAGGAGGAATGGTGATTGAAAGTGATGTTGTATCTGGTGAATTGGAAGGAGGAATGGTGATTGAAAGTGATGTTGTCTATCTGGTGAATTGGAGGAGGAATGGTGATTGAAAGTGATGTTTGAAATCTGGTGGAATTGGAAGGAGGAATGGTGATTGAAAGTGATGTTGTCTATCTGGTGGAATTGGAAGGAGGAATGGTGATTGAAAGTGATGTTTCTATCTGGTGGAATTGGAAGGAGGAAATGGCGATTGAAAGTGATGTTGTCTCATCTGGTGAATTGGAAAGGAGGAATGGTGATTGAAAAGTGATGTTGTCTATCTGGTGGGAATTGGTGATTGAAAATGAATTGTCTATCTGGTGAATTGAAAAATGTGATGTTGTCTTATCTGGTGGAATTGGAAGGAGGAATGGTGATTGAAAGTGATGTTGTCTATCTGGTGGAATTAGAATGGTGAATGGTGATGTTGAAATCTGGTGGAATTGGAAGGAATTGATTGAAATGTTGTCTATCTGGTGGAATTGGAAGAAGGAGGAAATCTGGTGATTGGAAAGAATGATTGAAAGACGTTGTCTATCTGGTGGAATTGGAAGGAGGAATGGTGATTGAAAGTGATGTTGTCTATCTGGTGAATTGGAAGGAGGAATGGTGATTGAAAAGATGTTGTCTATCTGGTGGAATTGGAAGGATTGGTGATTGAAAGTGATGTTGTCTATCTGGTGGAATTGGAAGGAGGAATGGTGATTGAAAGATGTTGTCTATCTGGTGGAATTGGAAGGAGGAATGGTGATTGAAAGTGATGTTGTCTATCTGGTGGAATTAGAAGAATAATGAAGGAAAGGATGTTGTCTATCTGGTGGAATTGGAAAGGAATGATTGAAAGTGATGTTGTCTATCTGGTGGAATTGGAAGGAGATTGAAAGTGGTGATCTGGTGGAATTGGAAGGAGGAATGAAAAGTGATGTTGTCTATCTATGGTGGAATTGGAAGGAGGAATGGTGATTGAAAGTGATGTTGTCTATCTGGTGGAATTGGAAGGAAATAATGATTGAAAGTGATGTTGTCTATCTGGTGGAATTGGAAGGAGGAATGGTGATTGAAAGTGATGTTGTGGGAATTGGAAGGAATGGTGATTAGTGATGTTGTCTATCTGGTGGAATTGGAAGGAGGAATGGTGATTGAAAGATGTTGTCTATCTGGTGGAAATTGGAAGGAGGAATGGTGATTGAAAGTGATGTTGTCTATCTGGTGGAATTGGAAGGAGGAATGGTGATTGAAAGGATGTTGTTCATCTGGTGAATTGGAAGGAGGAATGGTGATCTGAAAAGGGAATAATGATTGTCGTTGTCTATCTGGTGGAATTGGAAGGAGGAAATGGTGATTGAAAGTGATGTTGTCTATCTGGTGGAATTGGAAGGAGGAATGGTGATTGAAAGTGATGGAAGGAGGATGTCATTGTCTATCTGGTGGAATTGGAAGGAGGAAATGGCGTGATTGAAAGTGATGTTGTCTATCTGGTGGAATGGTGATTGAAGGAGGAATCTGGTGGAATTGGAAGGAGGAATGATGATTGAAAGTGATGTTGTCTATCTGGTGGAATCTATCTGGTGGAATTGGAAGGAGGAATGGTGATTGAAAGTGATGTTGTCTATCTGGTGGAATTGGAGGAATGGTGAATGAAAGTGATGTTGTCTATCTGGTGGAATTGGGAAGGAGAAATGATTGAAAGTGATGTTGTCTATCTGGTGGAATTGGAAGAAATGGGATTGAAAGTGATGTTGTCTATCTGGTGGAAATTGAAAGGAAATGATGATTAGTGATGTTCTCTATCTGGTGGAATTAGAAGGAGGAAATGGTGATTGAAAGATGTTGTCTATCTGGTGGAATTGGAAAGGAGGAATGGTGATTGAAAGTGATGTTGTCTATCTGGTGGAATTAAAGGAGGAATGGTGATTGAAAGTGACGTTTGTTCATCTGGTGGAATTGGAAGGAGAATGGTGATTGAAAGTGATGTTTTCTATATCTGGTGAATTGGAAGGAGGAATGGATTGAAAGTGATGTTGTTCATCTGGTGGAATTGGAAGGAGGAATGGTGATTGAAAGTGATGTTCATCTGGTGGAATTGGAAGGAGGAAATGGGATTGAAAGTGATGTTGTCTATCTGGTGGAATTGGAAGGAAGGAACAATGAAAGTGATGTTGTTCATCTGGTGGAATTGAAGGAGGAATGGTGATGAAAAGTGACGTTGTCTATCTGGTGGAATTGAAGGAGGAATGGTGATTGAATGTGATGTTGTCTCTGGTGGAATTAGAAGGAGGAAATGGTGATTGAAAAAGATGACGTATTCAGGAATTGGAAGGAGGAATGGTGATTGAAAGTGATGTTGTTTATCTGGTGGAATTGAAGAGAGAATGGTGATTGAATGTGGCGTTGTCTATCTGGTGGAATTGGAAGGAGGAATGGTGATTGAAAGTGATGTTGTCTATCTGGTGGAAATTGGAAGGAGGAAATGGTGATTGAAAGATGTTTGCTATCTGGTGAATTGGAAGGAGTGAAATGGTGATTGAAAGTGATGTTGTTCATCTGGTGGAATTGGAAGGAGGAATGGTGAATTGAAGGAAAATGTGAAAAGTGACGTTGCTATCTGGTGGAATTGGAAGAGAATGGTGATTGAAAGATGTTGTTCATCTGGTGGAATTGAAGGAGGAATGGTGATTGAAAGTGACGTTTGCTATCTGGTGGAATTGGAAGGAGAATGGTGATTGAAAGTGTTGTCTATCTGGTGAATTGGAAGGAGGAATGGTGATTGAAAGTGACGTTTGGTATCTGGTGGAATTGGAAAAGGGAACAATGAAAGATGTTGGTCTATCTGGTGAATTGAAAGGAAAATGGGATTGAAAGTGATGCTGTCATCTGGTGGAATTGAAAAAGGGAATGGTGATTGAAAGTGACAAGTGTCATCTGGTGGAATTGAAGGAGAATGGTGATTGAAAGTGATGTCATCTATCTGGTGGAATTGAAGAGGAATGGTGATTGAAAAGATGTTGTCTATCTGGTGGAATTGAAGGAGGACAATGATTGAAAGATGTTGTTCATCTGGTGGAATTGAAGGAGGAACAGGATTGAAAGACGTTGTTCATCTGGTGGAATCTGGAAGGGGAAATGGTGATTGAAAGTGATGTTGTCTATCTGGTGGAATTGAAGGAGAATGGTGAATGGAAAGTGATGTTGTCATCTGGTGAAATTGGAAGGAGGAATGGTGATTGAAAAGTGATGTTGTCATCTGGTGGAATTGGAAAAGGAGGAATGATTGAAAGATGTTGTCTATCTGGAATTAGAAGGAGGAATAATGATTGAAAGATGTTGTCTATCTGGTGGAATTGAAGGAGGGAATGGTGATTGAAAGTGATGTTGTCATCTGGTGGAATTGGAAGGAGGAATGGTGATTGAAAAGTGATGTTGTTCATCTGGAATTGAGGAGGAATTGAAGGAGGAATTGGTAGGATGGTGATTGAAAGTGGACGTTGTCTATCTGGTGAGAATTAGAAAGGAGTCTGAATGGTGGAATTGAAAGGAATGATGTTGTTGTCTATCTGGTGGTTCGCAGGGAGGAATGGAAAGGAGGAATGGTGATTGAAAGTGATGTTGTTATCTGGTGGAATTGGAAGGAGGAATGGTGATTGAAAGTGATGTTGTCTATTCAGGAATTAGAAGGAGGAATGGTGATTGAAAGTGATGTTGTCTATCTGGTGGAATGGAAGGGAGGAATGGTGATTGGAAAGTGATGTTGTTTATCTCAGGAATTGAAGGAGGAATGGTGATTGAAAGTGATGTTGCTCATCTGGTGGAATTGTAGGAGGAATGGTGATTGAAAGTGATGCTGTTCATCTGGTGGAAATTGGAAGGAATGGTGATTGAAAGTGATGTTGTTCATTCAGGAAATTGGAAGGAGGAATGGTGATTGAAAGTGACGTTTGCTATCTGGTGGAACTGGAAGAGGAATGGTGATTGAAAGTGATGTTGTCTATCTGGTGGAGGAAATTTGAAAGGAGGAATGGTGGAATTGAAGAGAATGATGTGATGTTGTTCATTCTGGAATTGGGAAGGAGAAGGTAGAGGAATGGTGACGCTTGATCTGTTGGAAATCGAGGGAATGGAATTGAATGAAGGAGGAATGAGGAACAGATTGAAAGTGATGTTGTCTATCTGGTGGAATAGGAAGGAGAATGGTGATTGAAAGTGACGTTTACACTGGTGGAATGGGAAGGAGGAATGGTGATTGAAAGTGATGGTTGTTCATCTGGTGGAAACAAAGGAGGAAATGGTGATTGAAAGGATGTTGTCTATCTGGTGGAATTAGAAGGAGGAATGGTGATTGAAAGTGATGTTGTCTATCTGGTGGAAATTGAAGGAGGGGAATGGTGAAATGAAAGTGATGTTGTCTATCTGGTGGAATTAGAAGGAGGAATGGTGAATGAATGTGATGTTGTCTATCTTCTGGAATTAGAAGGAGGAACAGAATTGAAAGTGATGTTGTCTATCTGGTGGAATTGAAAGGAGGAATGGGGATTGAAAAGTGATGTTGTCTATCTGGTGGAATTGGAAAGGAGGAATGGTGATTGAAAGTGATGTTGCTCCATTCTGGAATGGAATTAGAGTGAGGAATGGTGAATGTGAAAGATGTTTACTATCGTGGAATTAAGAAGGAATGGTGAATGAAAGATGTTGTCTATCTGGTGGAATTGGAAGGAGGAATGGTGATTGAAAGTGACGTTTGCTATCTGGTGGAATTGGAAGGAGGAATGGTGATTGAAAGTGACGTTTGCTATCTGGTGGAATTGGAAGGAGAATGGTGATTGAAAGTGATGTTGTCTATCTGAATTGGAAGGAGGAATGGTGATTGAAAGTGATGAAAGTGATGTTGTCTATCTGGTGGAATTGGAAGGAGGAGGAATGGTGATTGAAAGTGATGTTTGCTATCTGGTGAATTGAAAGGAGGAATGGTGATTGAAAGTGACGTTGTCTATCTGGTGGAAAGGAGGAAGGTGGAGATTGAAAGTGAATTGTCTATCTGGTGAATTGAAAGGAGAATGGTGATTGAAAGTGATGTTTCTCTGGTGGAATTGGAAGGAGGAATGGTGATTGAAAGTGATGTTGTCTATCTGGTGGAATTGGAAGGAGGAATGGTGATTGAAAGTGATGTTGTCTATCTGGTGGAATTGGAAGGAGGAATGGTGATTGAAAGTGATGTTTTCTATCTGGTGGAATTGGAAGGAGGAATGGTGATTGAAAGTGATGTTTGTCTGGTGGAATTGGAAGGAGGAATGGTGATTGAAAGTGATGTTGTCAAATTGGAAGGAAAATGGTGATTGAAAGTGACGTTTGCTATCTGGTGGAATTGGAAGGAGGAATGGTGATTGAAAGTGACGTTTGCTATCTGGTGGAATTGGAAGGAGGAATGGTGATTGAAAGTGATGTTGTCTATCTGGTGGAATTGGAAGGAGGAATGGTGATTGAAAGTGACGTTTGCTATCTGGTGGAATTGGAAGGAGGAATGGTGATTGAAAGTGATGTTGTCTATCTGGTGGAATTGGAAGGAGGAATGGTGATTGAAAGTGATGTTGTCTATCTGGTGGAATTGGAAGGAGGAATGGTGATTGAAAGTGATGTTGTCTATCTGGTGAATTGTGTGAAAAGTTGTTGTCTATCTGGTGGAATTGAAGGAGGAATGGTGATTGAAAGTGATGTTGTCTATCTGGTGGAATTGGAAGGAGGAATGGTGATTGAAAGTGATGTTGTCTATCTGGTGGAATTAGAAGGAGGAAATGGTGATTGGAGGAATCTGGTGGAATTGAAGGAGGAATGATGTTGTGATGTTGTCTATCTGGTGGAATTGGAAGGAGGAATGGTGATTGAAAGTGATGTTGTCTATCTGGTGGAATTGGAAGGAGGAATGGTGATTGAAAGTGATGTTGTCTATCTGGTGGAATTGGAAGGAGGAATGGTGATTGAAAGTGATGTTGTCTATCTGGTGGAATTGGAAGGAGGAATGGTGATTGAAAGTGATGTTTGCTATCTGGTGGAATTGGAAGGAGGAATGGTGATTGAAAGTGATGTTGTCTATCTGGTGGAATCTGGTGGAATTGAAAGGAGGAATTGAAAGGAATGATGTTGAAAGTGATGTTTACTATCTGAATTGGAAGGAGGAATGATTGAAAGTGATGTTGTTCATCTGGTGGAATTGGAAGGAGGAATGGGATTGAAAGTGATGTTGTGATCTTGTGGAATTCTGGTGAAAGTGATGTTGTCTATCTGGTGGGAAGGAGGAATGGTGATTGAAAGTGATGTTGTCTATCTGGTGGAATTAGAAGGAGGAATGGTGATTGAAAGTGATGTTGTCTATCTGGTGGAATTGGAAGGAGGAATGGTGATTGAAAGTGATGTTGAATCTGGTGGAATTGAAAATGGTGATGTTGTTGCTATCTGGTGGAATTGGAAGGAGGAAATGGTGATTGAAAGTGATGTTGTTGTCTATCTGGTGGAATTGGAAGGAGGAATGGTGATTGAAAGTGATGTTGTCTATCTGGTGGAATTGGAAGGAGAGGAAATGGTGATTGAAAGGATGGAATCTGGTGAATTGAAGGAGGAATGGTGATTGAAAAGTGATGTTGTCTATCTGGTGGAATTGGAAGGAGGAATGGTGATTGAAAGTGATGTTGTCTATCTGGTGGAATTGGAAGGAGGAATGATGCTGTCTATCTGGTGGAATTCGAAGGTGAAATGGTACTGAAAGACGTTTGCTATCTGGTGGAATTAGAAGGAGGAATGGTGATTGAAAGTGACAAGTTGCTCATTCCAGAAATTGGTAGGAGTGAATGGTGATTGAAAGTGATGTTGCTCATCTGGTGGAAATTAGGGGAAGAGGAATGGTGGAATGAAAGACGTCGGTTATCTGTGAATTCTGAAGGAGGAATGGTGATTGAAAAGTGACGTTTGCTATCTGGTGGAATTAGAAGGAGAATGGTGATTGAAAGTGATGTTGTTCATTCAGGAATTGGAAGGAGAATGGAGATTAAAAGGATGTTTACATCTGGGTGGGGAATTAGAAGGAGGGAACAGATTGGAAAGTGATGTTGTCTATTCAGGAATTGGAAGGAGGAATGTAGATGAAAAGATGTTGTTATCTGGTGGAATTAGAAGGAGGAATGGTGATTGGGAAAAGGATGTTTCTATCTGGTGGAATTGGAAAGAGGGGGAATGGTGACAGTGATGTTGTTATTCAGGAATTTGTAGGAGGAATGGTGAATGAAAGTAGATGTTTTCATCTGTGAATTAGAAGGAGAATGGTGAAAGTGATGTTGTCTATCTGGTGGAATTGGAAGGAGGAATGGTGATTGAAAGTGATGTTGTCTATCTGGTGGAATTGGAAGGAAGGAGGAATGGGTGATTGAAAGTGATGTTTGTTGTCTATCTGGTGGAATTGGAAGGAGGAATGGTGATTGAAAGTGATGTTGTCTATCTGGTGGAATTGGAAGGAGGAATGGTGATTGAAAGTGATGTTTGCTATCTGGTGGAATTGAAGGAGGAATGGTGATTGAAAGGAGTTGATCTGGTGGAATTGAAAGGAGGAATGGTGATGTTGTCTATCTGGTGGAATTGGAAGGAGGAATGGTGATTGAAAGTGATGTTGTCTATCTGGTGGAATTGGAAGGAGGAATGGTGATTCTGAAAGTGATGTTGTCTATCTGGTGGAATTGGAAGGAGGAATGGTGATTGAAAGTGATGTTGTCTATCTGGTGGAATTGGAAGGAGGAATGGTGATTGAAAGTGATGTTGTCTATCTGGTGGAATTGGAAGGAGGAATGGTGATTGAAAGTGATGTTGTCTATCTGGTGGAATTGGAAGGAGAATGGTGATTGAAAGTGATGTTGTCTATCTGGTGGAATTGGAAGGAGGAATGGTGATTGGTGAATTGAAAGGTGATGATGTTGTCTATCTGGTGGAATTGGAAGGAGGAATGGTGATTGAAAGTGATGTTGTCTATCTGGTGGAATTGGAAGGAGGAATGGTGATTGAAAGTGATGTTGTCTATCTGGTGGAATTGGAAGGAGGAATGGAAGGAGGAATGGTGATTGAAAGTGATGTTGTCTATCTGGTGGAATTGGAAGGAGGAATGGTGATTGAAAGTGATGTTGTCTATCTGGTGGAATTGGAAGGAGGAATGGTGATTGAAAGTGATGTTGTCTATCTGGTGGAATTGGAAGGAGGAATGGTGATTGAAAGTGATGTTGTTCTATCTGGTGGAATTGGAAGGAGGAATGGTGATTGAAAGTGATGTTGTCTATCTGGTGGAATTGGAAGGAGGAATGGTGATTGAAAGTGATGTTGTCTATCTGGTGGAATTGGAAGGAGGAATGGTGATTGAAAGTGATGTTGTCTATCTGGTGGAATTGGAAGGAAATGGTGATTGAAAGTGAGGATCTGGTGGAATTGGAAGGAGGAATGGTGATTGAAAGTGATGTTGTCTATCTGGTGGAATTGGAAGGAGGAATGGTGATTGAAAGTGATGTTGTCTATCTGGTGGAATTGGAAGAATTGGAAGGAGGAATGGTGATTGAAAGTGATGTTGTTGTCTATCTGGTGGAATTGGAAGGAGGAATGGTGATTGAAAGTGATGTTGTCTATCTGGTGGAATTGGAAGGAGGAATGGTGATTGAAAGTGATGTTGTCTATCTGGTGGAATTGGAAGGAGGAATGGTGATTGAAAGTGATGTTGTCTATCTGGTGGAATTGGAAGGAGGAATGGTGATTGAAAGTGATGTTGTTCTATCTGGTGGAATTGGAAGGAGGAATTGAAAGTGATGTTGTCTATCTGGTGGAATTGGAAGGAGGAATGGTGATTGAAAGTGATGTTGTCTATCTGGTGGAATTGGAAGGAGGAATGGTGATTGAAAGTGATGTTGTCTATCTGGTGGAATTGGAAGGAGGAATGGTGATTGAAAGTGATGTTGTCTATCTGGTGGAATTGAAGGAGGAATGGTGATTGAAAGTGATGTTGTCTATCTGGTGGAATTGGAAGGAGGAATGGTGATTGAAAGTGATGTTGTCTATCTGGTGGAATTGGAAGGAGGAATGGTGATTGAAAGTGATGTTGTTTTGCTATCTGGTGGAATTGGAAGGAGGAATGGTGATTGAAAGTGATGTTGTCTATCTGGTGGAATTGGAAGGAGGAATGGTGATTGAAAGTGACGTTTGATGTTGTCTATCTGGTGGAATTGGAAGGAGGAATGGTGATTGAAAGTGATCTCTGGTGGAATTGGAAGGAGGAATGGTGATTGAAAGTGATGTTGTCTATCTGGTGGAATTGGAAGGAGGAATGGTGATTGAAAGTGATGTTGTCTATCTGGTGGAATTGGAAGGAGGAATGGTGATTGAAAGTGATGTTGTCTATCTGGTGGAATTGGAAGGAGGAATGGTGATTGAAAGTGATGTTGTCTATCTGGTGGAATTGGAAGGAGGAATGGTGATTGAAAGTGATGTTTGCTATCTGGTGGAATTGGAAGGAGGAATGGTGATTGAAAGGATGTTGATCTGGTGGAATTGGAAGGAGGAATGGTGATTGAAAGTGATGTTGTCTATCTGGTGGAATTGGAAGGAGGAATGGTGATTGAAAGTGATGTTGTCTATCTGGTGGAATTGGAAGGAGGAATGGTGATTGAAAGTGATGTTGTCTATCTGGTGGAATTGGAAGGAGGAATGGTGATTGAAAGTGATGTTGTCTATCTGGTGGAATTGGAAGGAGGAATGGTGAATTGAAAATGGTGATTGTTGTTTGTCTATCTGGTGGAATTGGAAGGAGGAATGGTGATTGAAAGTGATGTTGTCTATCTGGTGGAATTGGAAGGAGGAATGGTGATTGAAAGTGATGTTGTCTATCTGGTGGAATTGGAAGGAGGAATGGTGATTGAAAGTGATGTTGTCTATCTGGTGGAATTGAAGGAGGAATGGTGATTGAAAGTGATGTTTGTCTATCTGGTGGAATTGGAAGGAGGAATGGTGATTGAAAGTGATGTTGTCTCTCTGGAATGGAAGGAATGGTGATTGAAAGTGATGTTGTCTATCTGGTGGAATTGGAAGGAGGAATGGTGATTGAAAGTGATGTTGTCTATCTGGTGGAATTGGAAGGAGGATTGGAATCTGGTGGAATTTGAAAGGAAATGATGTTGAAAGTGATGTTTGTTCTCTGGTGGAATTGGAAGGAGGAATGGTGATTGAAAGTGATGTTGTCTATCTGGTGGAATTGAAGGAGGAATGGTGATTGAAAGTGATGTTGTCTATCTGGTGGAATTGAAGGAGGAATGGTGATTGAAAGTGATGTTGTCTATCTGGTGGAATTGGAAGGAGGAATGGTGATTGAAAGTGATGTTGTCTATCTGGTGGAATTGGAAGGAGGAATGGTGATTGAAAGTGATGTTGTCTATCTGGTGGAATTGAAGGAGGAATGGTGATTGAAAGAATGGTGAATTGGAAGGAGGAATGTTTGAAAGTGATGTTGTCTATCTATCTGGTGGAATTGGAAGGAGGAATGGTGAAGGAAAGGTGATGATGTTGTCTATCTGGTGGAATTGGAAGGAGGAATGGTGATTGAAAGTGATGTTTGAAAGTGACGTTTCTATCTGGTGGAATTGGAAGGAGGAATTGAAAGTGATGTTGTCTATTGAAAGGAGGAATGATGAAAGTTGTCTATCTGGTGGAATTGGAAGGAGGAATGGTGATTGAAAGTGATGTTGTCTATCTGGTGGAATTGGAAGGAGGAAAATGGTGATTGAAAGTGATGTTGTCTATCTGGTGGAATTGGAAGGAGGAATGGTGATTGAAAGTGATGTTGTCTATCATCTGGTGGAATTGGAAGGAGGAATGGTGATTGAAAGTGATGTTGTCTATCTGGTGGAATTGGAAGGAGGAATGGTGATTGAAAGTGATGTTGTCTCTATCTGGTGGAATTGGAAGGAGGAATGGTGATTGAAAGTGATGTTGTCTATCTGGTGGAATTGGAAGGAGGAATGGTGATTGAAAGTGATGTTGTCTATCTGGTGGAATTGGAAGGAGGAATGGTGATTGAAAGTGATGTTGTCTATCTGGTGGAATTGGAAGGAGGAATGGTGATTGAAAGTGAAAGGAATGTGGTGATTGAAAGTGATGTTGTCTATCTGGTGGAATTGGAAGGATGTTGTCTATCTGAATCTGGTGGTGATTGAAAGTGATGTTGTCTATCTGGTGGAATTGGAAATGGATTGAAAGTGATGTTGTCTATCTGGTGGAATTGGAAGGAGGAATGGTGATTGAAAGTGATGTTGTCTATCTGGTGGAATTGAAAGGAGGAATGGTGATTGAAAGTGATGTTGTTGTCTATCTGGTGGAATTGGAAGGAGGAATGGTGATTGAAAGTGATGTTGTCTATCTGGTGGAATTGGAAGGAGGAATGGTGATTGAAAGTGATGTTGTCTATCTGGTGGAAATTGGAAAGGAGGAAATGGTGATTGAAAGTGATGTTGTCTATCTGGTGGAATTGGAAGGAGGAATGGTGATTGAAAGTGATGTTGTCATCTGGTGGAATGGAAGGAGGAATGGTGATTGAAAGTGATGTTGTTGCTATCTGGTGGAATTGAGTGGAATTGGAAGGAGGAATGGTGATGGTGATTGAAAGTGATGTTGTCTATCTGGTGGAATTGGAAGGAGGAATGGTGATTGAAAGTGATGTTGTCTATCTGGTGGAATTGGAATTGGATTGAAAGGAAATGGTGATTGAAAGTGATGTTGTTGTCTATCTGGTGGAATTGGAAGGAGGAATGGTGATTGAAAGGAATCTGGTGGAATTGGAAGGAGGAATGGTGATTGAAAGTGATGTTGTCTATCTGGTGGAATTGGAAGGAGGAATGGTGATTGAAAGTGATGTTGTCTATCTGGTGGAATTGGAAGGAGGAATGGTGATTGAAAGTGTTGTTTGCATCTGGTGGAATTGGAAGGAGGAATGGTGATTGAAAGTGATGTTGTCTATCTGGTGGAATTGGAAGGAGGAATGGTGATTGAAAGTGATGTTTGGTGGAATTGGAAGGAGGAATGGTGATTGAAAGTGATGTTGTCTATCTGGTGGAATTGAAGGAGGAATGGTGATTGAAAGTGATGTTGTCTATCTGGTGGAATTGGAAGGAGGAATGGTGATTGAAAGTGATGTTGTCTATCTGGTGGAATTGGAAGGAGGAATGGTGATTGAAAGTGATGTTGTCTATCTGGTGGAATTGGAAGGAGGAATGGTGATTGAAAGTGATGTTGTCTATCTGGTGGAATTGGAAGGAAATGGTGATTGAAAGGATGTTGTCTATCTGGTGGAATTGAAGGAGGAATGGTGATTGAAAGTGATGTATCTATCTGGTGGAATTGGAAGGAGGAATGGTGATTGAAAGTGATGTTGTCTATCTGGTGGAATTGGAAGGAGGAATGGTGATTGAAAGGTTGTCTATCTGGTGGAATTGGAAGGAGGAATGGTGATTGAAAGTGATGTTGTCTATCTGGTGGAATTAGGAAGGAGGAATGGTGATTGAAAGTGATGTTGTCTATCTGGTGGAATTGGAAGAAGGAGGAAAGGAATGGTGAATTGAAGGAGGAATGGTGATTGAAAGTGATGTTGTCTATCTGGTGGAATTGGAAGGAGGAATGGTGATTGAAAGTGATGTTGTCTATCTGGTGGAATTGGAAGGAGGAATGGTGATTGAAAGTGATGTTGTCTATCTGGTGGAATTGGAAGGAGGAATGGTGATTGAAAGTGACGTTTTCTATCTGGTGGAATTGGAAGGAGGAATGGTGATTGAAAGTGATGTTGTCTATCTGGTGGAATTGGAAGGAGGAATGGTGATTGAAAGTGATGTTGTCTATCTGGTGGAATTGGAAGGAGGAATGGTGATTGAAAGTGATGTTGTCTATCTGGTGGAATTGGAAGGAGGAATGGTGATTGAAAGTGATGTTTGTTCATCTGGTGGAATTGGAAGGAGGAATGGTGATTGAAAGTGATGTTGTCTATCTGGTGGAATTGGAAGGAGGAATGGTGATTGAAAGTGATGTTGTTCATCTGGTGGAATTGGAAGGAGGAATGGTGATTGAAAGTGATGTTGTCTATCTGGTGGAATTGGAAGGAGGAATGGTGATTGAAAGTGATGTTGTCTATCTGGTGGAATTGAAGGAGGAATGGTGGAATTGAAAGTGATGTTGTTTTGCTCTGGTGGAATTGGAAGGAGGAATGGTGATTGAAAGTGATGTTGTCTATCTGAAGATGTTGTCTATGGAATTGGAAGGAGGAATGGTGATTGAAAGTGATGTTGTCTATCTGGTGGAATTGGAAGAGGAATGGAGGAATGAAAGTGATGTTGTCTATCTGGTGGAATTGGAAGGAGGAATGGTGATTGAAAGTGATGTTGTCTATCTGGTGGAATTGGAAGGAGGAATGGTGATTGAAAGTGAATCTGGTGGAATTGGAAGGAGGAATGGTGATTGAAAGTGATGTTGTCTATCTGGTGAATTGAAAAGTGGAGGAATGGTGATTGAAAGTGATGTTGTTCATCTGGTGGAATTGGAAGGAGGAATGGTGATTGAAAGTGATGTTGTCTATCTGGTGGAATTGGAAGGAGGAATGGTGATTGAAAGTGATGTTGATTGAATTGGAAGGAGAAATGGTGATTGAAAGTGATGTTGTCTATCTGGTGGAATTGGAAGGAGGAATGGTGATTGAAAGTGATGTTGTCTATCTGGTGGAATTGGAAGGAGGAATGGTGATTGAAAGTGATGTTGTCTATCTGGTGGAATTGGAAGGAGGAATGGTGATTGAAAGTGATGTTGTCTATCTGGTGGAATTGAAGGAGGAATGGTGATTGAAAGTGATGTTGTATCTGGTGGAATTGGAAGGAGGAATGGTGATTGAAAGTGATGTTGTCTATCTGGTGGAATTGGAAGGAGGAATGGTGATTGAAAGTGATGTTGTCTATCTGGTGGAATTGGAAGGAGGAATGGTGATTGAAAGTGATGTTGTCTATCTGGGAATGGAATTGGAAGGAAAGGAATGGTGGAATTGAAAGGTGATGTTGTTGTCTATCTGGTGGAATTGGAATTGAAGGAGGAATGGTGATTGAAAGTGATGTTGTCTATCTGGTGGAATTGAAGGAGGAATGGTGATTGAAAGGATGTTGTCTATCTGAATTGGGAGGAATGGTGATTGAAAGTGATGTTGTCTATCTGGTGGAATTGGAAGGAGGAATGGTGGAAAGTGATTGAAAGTGATGTTGTCTATCTGGTGGAATTGGAAGGAGGAATGGTGATTGAAAGTGATGTTGTCTATCTGGTGGAATTGGAAGGAGGAATGGTGATTGAAAGTGATGTTGTCTATCTGGTGGAATTGGAAGGAGGAATGGTGATTGAAAGTGATGTTGTCTATCTGGTGGAATTGGAAGGAGGAATGGTGATTGAAAGTGATGTTGTCTATCTGGTGAATTGGAAGGAGGAATGGTGATTGAAAGTGATCTGGTCATCTGAAATTGGAAGGAGGAATGGTGATTGAAAGTGATGTTGTCTATCTGGTGGAATTGGAAGGAGGAATGGTGATTGAAAGTGATGTTGTCTATCTGGTGGAATTGGAAGGAGGAATGGTGATTGAAAGTGATGTTGTCTATCTGGTGGAATTGGAAGGAGGAATGGTGATTGAAAGTGATCTTTGCTATCTGGTGGAATTGGAAGGAGGAATGGTGATTGAAAGTGATGTTTGGAGGAATGGTGATTGAAAGTGATGTTGTCTATCTGGTGGAATTGGAAGGAGGAATGGTGATTGAAAGTGATGTTGTCATCTGGTGGAATTGGAAGGAGGAATGGTGATTGAAAGTGATGTTGTCTATCTGGTGGAATTGGAAGGAGGAATGGTGATTGAAAGTGATGTTGTCTATCTGGTGGAATTGGAAGGAGGAATGGTGATTGAAAGTGATGTTGTCTATCTGGTGGAATTGGAAGGAGGAATGGTGATTGAAAGGAATGGTGGAATTGAAGGAGGAATGATGATTGAAAGTGATGTTTGCTATCTGGTGGAATTGGAAGGAGGAATGGTGATTGAAAGTGATGTTGTCTATCTGGTGGAATTGGAAGGAGGAATGGTGATTGAAAGTGATGTTGTCTATCTGGTGGAATTGGAAGGAGGAATGGTGATTGAAAGTGATGTTGTCTATCTGGTGGAATTGGAAGGAGTGATGTTGAATCTGGTGGAATTGAAAGGAATGATGTTGTTGTCTATCTGGTGGAATTGGAAGGAGGAATGGTGATTGAAAGTGATGTTGTCTATCTGGTGGAATTGGAAGGAGGAATGGTGATTGAAAGTGATGTTGTCTATCTGGTGGAATTGGAAGGAGGAATGGTGATTGAAAGTGATGTTGTTTTATCTGGTGGAATTGGAAGGAGGAATGGTGATTGAAAGTGATGTTGTCTATCTGGTGGAATTGGAAGGAGGAATGGTGATTGAAAGTGATGTTGTCTCTCTGGAATGGAAATTGATTGAAAGGAGGAAATGGTGATTGAAAGTGAATGGTGGAATTGAAAATGGTGATTGAAAGTTGCTATCTGGTGGAATTGGAAGGAGGAATGGTGATTGAAAGTTTTGGGTGGAATTGGAAGGAGGAATGGTGATTGAAAGTGATGTTGTCTATCTGGTGGAATTGGAATGGTGATTGAAAGTGATGTTGTCTATCTGGTGGAATTGGAAGGAGGAATGGTGATTGAAAGTGACGTTGATCTGGTGGAATTGGAAGGAGGAATGGTGATTGAAAAGATGTTGTCTATCTGGTGGAATTGGAAGGAGGAATGGTGATTGAAAGTGATGTTGTCTATCTGGTGGAATTGGAAGGAGGAATGGTGATTGAAAGTGATGTTGTCTATCTGGTGGAATTGGAAGGAGGAATGGTGATTGAAAGGATGTTGTTCATCTGGTGGAATTGGAAGGAGGAATGGTGATTGAAAGTGATGTTGTCTATCTGGTGGAATTGGAAGGAGGAATGGTGATTGAAAGTGATGTTGTCTATCTGGTGGAATTGGAAGGAGGAAATGGAAAGTGGTTGATTGGTGGAAAGTGATGTTGTTGTCTATCTGGTGGAATTGGAAGGAGGAATGGTGATTGAAAGTGATGTTGTTATCTGGTGGAATTGGAAGGAGGAATGGTGATTGAAAGTGATGTTGTCTATCTGGTGGAATTGGAAGGAGGAAATGGTGATTGAAAGTGATGTTGTCTATCTGGTGGAATTGGAAGGAGGAATGGTGATTGAAAGTGATGTTGTCTATCTGGTGGAATTGGAAGGAGGAATGGTGATTGAAAGTGATGTTGTCTATCTGGTGGAATTGGAAGGAGGAATGGTGATTGAAAGTGATGTTGTTATTGGTGGAATTGGAAGGAGAATGGTGATGTTGTTCATCTGGTGGAATTGGAAGGAGGAATGGTGATTGAAAGGTGATGTTGTCTATCTGGGTGGAATTGGAAGGAGGAATGGTGATTGAAAGTGATGTTGTCTATCTGGTGGAATTGGAAGGAGGAATGGTGATTGAAAGTGATGTTGTCTATCTGGGAATGGAAATTGGAAGGAGGAATGGTGAATTGAAAGTGATGTTGTTGTCTATCTGGTGGAAATTGGAAGGAGGAATGGTGATTGAAAGTGATGTTGTCTATCTGGTGGAATTGGAAGGAGGAATGGTGATTGAAAGTGATGTTGTCTATCTGGTGGAATTGGAAGGAGGAATGGTGATTGAAAGTGATGTTGTCTATCTGGTGGAATTGGAAGGAGGAATGGTGATTGAAAGTGATGTTGTCTATCTGGTGGAATTGGGAGGAATGGTGATTGAAAGTGATGTTGATCTGGTGGAATTGAAGGAGGAATGGTGATTGAAAGTGATGTTGTCTATCTGGAATTGGAGGAATGGTGATTGAAAGTGATGTTGTCTATCTGGTGGAATTGGAAGGAGGAATGGTGATTGAAAGTGATGTTGTCTATCTGGTGGAATTGAAGAGGAATGGTGATTGAAAGTGATGTTGTCTATCTGGTGGAATTGGAAGGAGGAATGGTGATTGAAAGTGATGTTGTCTATCTGGTGGAATTGGAAGAGAAATGGTGATTGAAAGTGATGTTGTCTATCTGGTGGAAAGGAAGGTGATTGAAAGTGATGTTGTCTATCTGGTGGAATTGGAAGAGGAATGATTGAAAGTGATGTTGTCTATCTGGTGGAATTGGAAGGAGGAATGGTGATTGAAAGTGATGTTGTCTATCTGGTGGAATTGAAGGAGGAAATGTGATTGAAAGTGATGTTGTCTATCTGGTGGAATTGGAAGGAGGAATGGTGATTGAAAGTGATGTTGTCTATCTGGTGGAATTGGAAGGAGGAATGGTGATTGAAAGAAGGAGGATGTTGTCTATCTGGTGGAATTGGAAGGAGGAATGGTGATTGAAAGTGATGTTGTCTATCTGGTGGAATTGGAAGGAGGAATGGTGATTGAAAGTGATGTTGTCTATCTGGTGGAATTGGAAGGAGGAATGGTGATTGAAAGTGATGTTGTCTATCTGGTGGAAATTGGAAGGAGGAATGAAGGAGATTGAAAAAGTGATGTTGTCTATCTGGTGGAATTGGAAGGGTGATTGAAAGAATGTTGTCTATCTGGAATTGAAAGGTGATGGTGATGTTGTCTATCTGGTGGAATTGGAAGGAGGAATGGTGATTGAAAGTGATGTTGTCTATCTGGTGGAATTGGAAGGAGGAATGGTGATTGAAAGTGATGTTGTCTATCTGGTGGAATTGGAAGGAGGAATGGTGATTGAAAGTGATGTTGTCTATCTGGTGGAATTGGAAGGAGGAATGGTGATTGAAAGTGATGTTGTCTATCTGGTGGAATTGGAAGGAGGAATGGTGATTGAAAGTGATGTTGTCTATCTGGTGGAATTGGAAGGAGGAATGGTGATTGAAAGTGATGTTGTCTCTGGTCTGGAGGAATGGTGATTGAAAGTGATGTTGTCTATCTGGTGGAATTGAAAGGAATGATGATTGAAAGTGATGTTGTCTATCTGGTGGAATTGGAAGGAGGAATGGTGATTGAAAGTGATGTTGTCTATCTGGTGGAATTGGAAGGAGGAATGGTGATTGAAAGTGATGTTGTCTATCTGGTGGAATTGGAAGGAGGAATGGTGATTGAAAGTGATGTTGTCTATCTGGTGGAATTGGAAGGAGGAATGGGATTGGAAGTGAAAGATGTTGTCTATCTGGTGGAATTGGAAGGAGGAATGGTGATTGAAAGTGATGTTGTCTATCTGGTGGAATTGGAAGGAGGAATGGTGATTGAAAGTGATGTTGTCTATCTGGTGGAATTGGAAGGAGGAATGGTGATTGAAAGTGATGTTGTCTATCTGGTGGAATTGGAAGGAGGAATGGTGATTGAAAGTGATGTTGTCTATCTGGTGGAATTGGAAGGAGGAATGGTGATTGAAAGTGATGTTGTCTATCTGGTGGAATTGGAAGGAGGAATGGTGATTGAAAGTGATGTTTGTCTATCTGGAGGAATGGTGATTGAAAGGATGTTGAATCTGGTGGAATTGAAGGAGGAATGATGTGACGTTGTCTATCTGGTGGAATTGGAAGGAGGAATGGTGATTGAAAGTGATGTTGTCTATCTGAATTGAAGGAGGAATGGTGATTGAAAGATGTTGTCATCTGGTGGAATTGGAAGGAGGAATGGTGATTGAAAGTGATGTTGTTCATCTGGTGGAATTGGAAGGAGGAATGGTGATTGAAAGTGATGTTGTCTATCTGGTGGAATTGGAAGGAGGAATGGTGATTGAAAGTGATGTTGTCTATCTGGTGGAATTGGAAGGAGGAATGGTGATTGAAAGTGATGTTGTCTATCTGGTGGAATTAGAAGGAGGAATGGTGATTGAAAGTGATGTTGTCTATCTGGTGGAATTGGAGGAATGGTGATTGAAAGTGATGTTGTCTATCTGGTGAATTGGAAGGAGGAATGGTGATTGAAAGTGATGTTCTATCTGGTGGAATTGGAAGGAGGAATGGTGATTGAATGTGATGTTGTCTATCTTCTGGAATTGGAAGGAGGAATGGTGATTGAAAGTGATGTTGTCTATCTGGTGGAATTGGAAGGAGGAATGGGTGATTGAAAGGTGATGTTTTGCTATCTGGTGGAATTGGAAGGAGGAATGGTGATTGAAAGTGATGTTGTCTATCTGGTGGAATTGGAAGGAGGAATGGTGATTGAAAGTGATGTGAATTGAAAGGAATGGTGATTGTTGTTGTCTATCTGGTGGAATTGGAAGGAGGAATGGTGATTGAAAGTGATGTTGTCTATCTGGTGGAATTGGAAGGAGGAATGGTGATTGAAAGTGATGTTGTCTATCTGGTGGAATTGGAAGGAGGAATGGTGATTGAAAGTGACGTTTGCTATCTGGTGGAATTGGAAGGAGGAATGGTGATTGAAAGTGACGTTTGCTATCTGGTGGAATTGAAAATGGTGATTGGATGTTGTCTATCTGTTGAAAGTGATGTTGTCATCTGGTGATTGGAAGGAGGAATGGTGATTGAAATCTTGTGGAATTGGAAGGAGGAATGGTGATTGAAAGTGATGTTGTCTATCTGGTGGAATTGGAAGGAGGAATGGTGATTGAAAGTGATGTTATCTGGTGGAATTGAAGGAGGAATGGTGATTGAAAGTGATGTTGTCTATCTGGAATTGGAAGGAATGGTGATTGAAAGTGATGTTGTCTATCTGGTGGAATTGGAAGGAGGAATGGTGATTGAAAGTGATGTTGTCTATCTGGTGGAATTGGAAGGAGGAATGGTGATTGAAAGTGATGTTTGCTATCTGGTGGAATTGGAAGGAGGAATGGTGATTGAAAGTGATGTTGTCTATCTGGTGGAATTGAAGGAGGAATGGTGATTGAAAGTGATGTTGTCATCTGGTGGAATTGGAAGGAGGAATGGTGATTGAAAGTGATGTTGTCTATCTGGTGGAATTGGAAGGAGGAATGGTGATTGAAAGTGATGTTGCTATCTGGTGGAATTGGAAGGAGGAATGGTGATTGAAAGTGATGTTGTCTATCTGGTGGAATTGGAAGGAGGAAAGTGATGCTGTGAAATTGAAAGGAATGATGATTGAAAGTATCTTGTGGAAATTGGAAGGAGGAATGGTGATTGAAAGTGATGTTGTCTATCTGGTGGAATTGGAAGGAGGAATGGTGATTGAAAGTGATGTTGTCATCTGGTGGAATTGGAAGGAGGAATGGTGATTGAAAGTGATGTTGTCTATCTGGTGGAATTGGAAGGAGGAATGGTGATTGAAAGTGATGTTGTCTATCTATCTGGTGGAATTGGAAGGAGGAATGGTGATTGAAAGTGATGTTGTCTATCTGGTGGAATTGGAAGGAGGAATGGTGATTGAAAGTGATGTTGTCTATCTGGTGGAATTGATGTGACGTTTGCTATCTGGTGGAATTGGAAGGAGGAATGGTGATTGAAAGTGATGTTGTCTATCTGGTGGAATTGAAGGAAATGGTGATTGAAAGTGATGTTGTCTATCTGGTGGAATTGAAGGAGGAATGGTGATTGAAAGTGATGTTGTCTATCTGGTGGAATTGGAAGGAGGAATGGTGATTGAAAGTGATGTTGTCTATCTGGTGGAATTGGAAGGAGGAATGGTGATTGAAAGTGATGTTGTCTATCTGGTGGAATTGGAAGGAGGAATGGTGATTGAAAGTGATGTTGTCTATCTGGTGGAATTGGAAGGAGGAATGGTGATTGAAAGTGATGTTGTCTAATCTGGTGATTGAAAGGATTGGATCTGGTGAATTGGAAGGAGGAATGGTGATTGAAAGTGATGTTGTCTATCTGGTGGAATTGGAAGGAGGAATGGTGATTGAAAGTGATGTTGTCTATCTGGTGGAATTGGAAGGAGGAATGGTGATTGAAAGTGATGTTGTCTATCTGGTGGAATTAGAAGGAGGAATGGTGATTGAAAGTGATGTTGTCTATCTGGTGGAATTGGAAGGAGGAATGGTGATTGAAAGTGATGTTGTCTATCTGGTGGAATTGGAAGGAGGAATGGTGATTGAAAGTGATGTTGTCTATCTGGGGAATGATGGAAGGAGGAATGGTGAAAGTGAAATTGTGATGAATGTGACGAAAAAGACGTTGTCTATCTGGTGGAATTGGAAGGAGGAATGGTGAATGAAAGGAGGAAATGATGTTGTCTATCTGGTGGAAATTGAAGGAGGAATGGTGGATTGAAAGTGATGTTGTCTATCTGGTGGAATTGGAAGGAGGAATGGTGATTGAAAGTGATGTTGTCTATCTGGTGGAATTGAAGGAATGGTGATTGAAAAAGATGTTGTCTGGTCTGGTGAAATTGAAGAGGAATGGTTGAAAGTGATGCTATCATCTGTGGAATTGGAAGGAGGAATGGGTGAATGAAAGTGATGTTGTCTATCTGGTGGAATTGGAAGGAGGATTGATGGTCTATCCAGGAATTGGAAGGAGTGATGTTGTCTATCTGGTGGAATTGGAAGGAGGAATGGTGATTGAAAGGATGACGTTTGTCTATTGGTGGAATTGGAAGGAGGAATTGAAAGAGGATTGAAAGTGATGTTGTCTATCTGGTGGAATTGAAGGAAGGATTGAAAGATGTTGTTCATTCGGAATTGGAAGAGGAATGGTGATTGAAAGTGATGTTGTCTATCTGGTGGGAATTGGAAAGAGAGGAATGGTGATGTTGTCATCTGGAAAGGAATGATTATGTTGTTCTATCTGGTGAATTGGAAGGAGGAATGGTGATTGAAAGTGATGTTGTCTATCTGGTGGAATTGGAAGGAGAATAAGATTGAAAGTGATGTTGTTCATCTGGTGGAATTGGAAGGAGAATGGTGATTGAAAGTGACGTTGTTCATCTGGTGGAATTGGAAGGAGGAATGGTGATTGAAAGTGATGTTGTCTATCTGGTGGAATTGGTAGGAGGAATGGTGATTGAAAGTGATGTTGTCTATCTGGTGGAATTAGAAGGAGGAATGGTGAATGAAAGTGATGTTGTCTATCTGGTGGAATTGAAGGAGAAAATGGTGATTGAAAGGATGTTCATTCGGTGGAATGAAGGAGGAAATGGTGATTGAAAGCGATGTTGTCTATCTGGTGGAACGGTAGAGGAACAGATTGAAAGTGATGTTGCCTATCTGGTAGAACAATATGTCATAATTGCTGATGGTTCATCTGGTGGAATTGGAAGGAGGAAATTTGGTGATTGAAAGTGACGTTTGCTATCTGGTGGAATTGAAGGAGGAATGGTGATTGAAAGTGACGTTGTCTATCTGGTGGAATCTGGAAGGAGGAACGGTGGATTGAAAAAGTGATGTTGTCTATTCAGGAACTGGAAGGACGGAATGGTGATTGGAAAGTGATGTCATTCAAGTGGAATTGAAGGAGGAATGCGATTGAAAGTGATGTTGTCTATCTGGTGGAATATTAAAGGAGGAATGGCAGATTGAAAGATGCTGTCTATCTGGTGAACTGGAAGGACAGGACGAAAGTGATGTTGTCTTATTCAGGAATTGGAAGGAGGAATGGTGATTGAAAGACAAGTTGTCTATCTGGTGAATTCAAGAGGAATGGTGATTGAAAGTGATGTTGTCTATCTCCAGAACTGAAGGTGGAATGGGTGATTGAAAGATGTCTTTCAGGAACTGGAAGGAGGAAATGGCAGGATTGAAAGTGATGTTCTCTATCTGGTGGAACGGAAGGAGGAATGGTGATTGAAAGTGATGTTGTCTATCTGGTGGAATTGGAAGGAGGAATGGTGATTGAAAGTGATGTTGTCTATCTGGTGGAATTGGAAGGAGGAATGGTGATTGAAAGTGATGTTGTCTATCTGGTGGAATTGGAAGGAGGAATGGTGATTGAAAGTGATGTTGTCTATCTGGTGGAATTGGAAGGAGGAATGGTGATTGAAAGTGATGTTGTCTATCTGGTGGAATTGGAAGGAGGAATGGTGATTGAAAGTGATGTTGTCTATCTGGTGGAATTGGAAGGAGGAATGGTGATTGAAAGTGATGTTGTCTATCTGGTGGAATTGGAAGGAGGAATGGTGATTGAAAGTGATGTTGTCTATCTGGTGGAATTGGAAGGAGGAATGGTGATTGAAAGTGATGTTGTCTATCTGGTGGAATTGGAAGGAGGAATGGTGATTGAAAGTGATGTTGTCTATCTGGTGGAATTGGAAAGGGGAATGGTTATTGAAAAAGATGTTGTCTATCTGGTGGAATTGGAAGGGGGATTGATGATTGAAAGTGACGTTTTCTACCTGGTGGAATTGAAGGAGGAATGGTGATTGAAAGGATGTTGTCTATCTGGTGGAATTGAAGGAGGAATGGTGATTGAAAGTGATGTTGTCTATCTGGTGGAATTGGAAGGAGGAATGGTGATTGAAAGTGATGTTTGTCTATCTGGTGGAATTGGAAGAGGAATGGTGATTGAAAGAATGGTGATTGGTGGAATGATGTTTGAAAGATCTTGTCTATCTGGTGGAATTGGAAGGAGGAATGGTGATTGAAAGTGATGTTCTCTATCTGGTGGAATTGGAAAGGAGGAATGGTGATTGAAAGTGATGTTGTCTATCTGGTGGAATTGAGGAAATGGTGATTGAAAGTGATGTTGTCTATCTGGTGGAATTGGAAGGAGGAATGGTGATTGAAAGTGATGTTGTCTATCTGGTGGAATTGGAAGGAGGAATGGTGATTGAAAGTGATGTTGTCTATCTGGTGGAATTGGAAGGGAGAATGGTGATTGAAAGTGATGTTGTCTATCTGGTGGAATTGGAAGGAGGAATGGTGATTGAAAGTGATGTTGTCTATCTGGTGGAATTGGAAGGAGGAATGGTGATTGAAAGTGATGTTGTCTATCTGGTGGAATTGGAAGGAGGAATGGTGATTGAAAGTGATGTTGTCTATCTGGTGGAATTGGAAGGAGGAATGGAAGGAGAATGATTGAAAGTGATGTTGTCTATCTGGTGGAATTGGAAGGAGGAATGGAATTGGAAGGAGGAATGGTGATTGAAAGTGATGTTGTCTATCTGGTGGAATTGGAAGGAGGAATGGTGATTGAAAGTGATGTTGTCTATCTGGTGGAATTGAAGGAGGAATGGTGATTGAAAGTGATGTTGTCTATCTGGTGGAATTGGAAGGAGGAATGGTGATTGAAAGTGATGTTGTGATTGGAAGGAGGAATGGTGATTGAAAGTGATGTTGTCTATCTGGTGGAATTGGAAGGAGGAATGGTGATTGAAAGTGATGTTGTCTATCTGGTGGAATTGGATTGAAAGGATGTTGTCTATCTGGTGGAATGGGAAGGAGATTGATTGAAAGTGATGTTGTCTATCTGGTGGAATTGAAGGAGGAATGGTGATTGAAAGTGATGTTGTCTATCTGGTGGAATTGGAAGGAGGAATGGTGATTGAAAGTGATGTTGTCTATCTGGTGGAATTGGAAGGAGGAATGGTGATTGAAAGTGATGTTGTCTATCTGGTGGAATTGAAGGAGGAATGGTGATTGAAAGTGATGTTGTCTATCTGGTGGAATTGGAAGGAGGAATGGTGATTGAAAGTGATGTTGTCTATCTGGTGGAATTGGAAGGAGGAATGGTGATTGAAAGTGATGTTGTCTATCTGGTGGAATTGGAAGGAGGAATGGTGATTGAAAGTGATGTTGTCTATCTGGTGGAATTGGAAGGAGGAATGGTGATTGAAAGTGATGTTGTCTATCTGGTGGAATTGGAAGGAGGAATGGTGATTGAAAGTGATGTTGTCTATCTGGTGGAATTGGAAGGAGGAATGGTGATTGAAAGTGATGTTGTCTATCTGGTGGATTGAAAGTGATTGGAAGGAGAGAATGGTGATTGAAAGTGATGTTGTCTATCTGGTGGAAGGAGGAATGGTGATTGAAAGATGTTGTCTATCTGGTGAATTGGAAGGAGGAATGGTGATTGAAAGTGATGTTGTCTATCTGGTGGAATTGGAAGGAGGAATGGTGATTGAAAGTGATGTTGTCTATCTGGTGGAATTGGAAGGAGAATGGTGATTGAAAGTGATGTTGTCTATCTGGTGGAATTGGAAGGAGGAATGGTGATTGAAAGTGATGTTGTCTATCTGGTGGAATTGAAGGAGGAATGGTGATTGAAAGTGATGTTGTCTATCTGGTGGAATTGGAAGGAGGAATGGTGATTGAAAGTGATGTTGTCTATCTGGTGGAATTGGAAGGAGGAATGGTGATTGAAAGTGATGTTGTCTATCTGGTGGAATTGGAAGGAGGAATGGTGATTGAAAGTGATGTTGTCTATCTGGTGGAATTGGAAGGAGGAATGGTGATTGAAAGTGATGTTGTCTATCTGGTGGAATTGGAAGGAGGAATGGTGATTGAAAAGTGATGTTGTCTATCTGGTGGAATTGGAAGGAGGAATGGTGATTGAAAGTGATGTTGTCTTCTGGTGGAATTGGAAGGAGGAAAATGGTGATTGAAAGTGATGTTGTCTATCTGGTGGAATTGGAAGGAGGAATGGTGATTGAAAGTGATGTTGTCTATCTGGTGGAATTGGAAGGAGGAAATGGTGATTGAAAGTGATGTTGTCTATCTGGTGGAATTGGAAGGAGGAATGGTGATTGAAAGTGATGTTTGTCTATCTGGTGGAATTGGAAGGAGGAATGGTGATTGAAAGTGATGTTGTCTATCTGGTGGAATTGGAAGGAGGAATGTGGTGATTGAAAGTGATGTTGTTCATCTGGTGGAATTGGAAGGGAGGAATGGCAAGTGGATTGAAAGTGACGTTTACATCTGCGGAATTGAAGGAGGAATGGTGATTGAAAAGTGATGTTTGTCTATCTGGTGGAATTGAAAGAGGAATAAGATTGAAAGTGACGTTTGCTTATCTGGTGGAAATTGGAAGGAGGAATGGGTGATTGAAAAAGTGATGTTGTTCATCTGGTGGAATTGGAAGGAGGGTGGAAAAGACGCTGTTCATTCAGAAATTGGAAGGAGGGAATGGGTGATGTGACGTTGTCTATCTGGTGAAATTGGAAGGAGATTGAAAGTGATGTTGTTCATCTGAAAGTGAGGAATGGTAGATTGAAAATGTTGTTCTATCTGGTGAATGGAAGGAGGAATGGTGATTGAAAAGACGGAGAAGTTCATCTGGTGGAATTGAAGAGGAATGGTGGGATTGAAAGTGATGCGGTTTGGTCTGGTGGAATTGGAAGGAGGAAATGGCGGGAATGAAAAGATGTTGTCTATCTGGTGGAATTAGAAGGAGGAATGGTGATTGAAAGTGATAAGGTTTATCTGGTGGAATTGGAAGGAGGAATTGAAAGTGATTGAATCTGGAATTGGGTGAGAATGTGACGAAAGTATCATCTGGTTATCTGGTGTGGAACTGAAGAGGAAATGGTGACGAAAGTGATGTTGTCTATCTAGGAATTAAAGGAGGAATGGTGACGAAGTGACGTTTGCTATCTGGTGAACTGGAAGGAGGAATGATTGAAAGTGATGTTGTCTATTCAGGAATTGAAGGAGGAAATGGGTGATTGGAATGAAAGGATGTTTGCTATCTGGTGGAATTAATGAGGAATGGTGATTGAAAGGATGTTGTCTATCTGGTGGAATTAGAAGGAGGAACAGATTGAAAGATGTTTATTGAATTGGAGTGACGGGTGATTGAAAGATGTTCTATCTGGTGGAATTGGAAGGAGGAATGGTGAATGAAAGTGATGTTTCATCTGGTGGAATTGGAAGAGAATGGTGATTGAAAGATGTTGTTCATGGTGAATTGGGGGAATGGGAATGATTGAAAGTGATGTTGTTCATCTGGTGGAATTGAAGGGAGGAATGGGTGATTGAAAGATGTTGTTATCTCTGGAATTGGAAGGAGGAATGGTGATTGAAAGTGATTTTGTCTATCTGGTGGAATTGGAAGAGGAATGGCATTGAAAGTGATGTTGTCTATCTGGTGGAATTGGAAGAGAATGCGGATTGAAAGTGATGTTTATCTGGTAATTGAACGGAGGAAATGAGAAAGAATGGTGGAATTGAAGGAGAATGATGTTGTGTTCTTTCTGGGAATTGAAGGAGGAACAGGATTGAAAGTAGAAATGTTCATCTGGTGGAATTGGAAGGAGGAATGGTGATTGAAAGTGATGTTTGCCATTCAGAATTGGAAGGAATGGTGATTGAAAGTGATGTTGTTATCTGGTGGAATTGAAGGAGGAAATGGTGATTGAAAAGTGATGTTGTCTATCTGGTGGAATTGAAAGGAGAAATGGTGATTGAAAGTGATAGTTAATTATCTGGTGGAATTGAAGTGAGAATGGGATTGAAAGGATGTTTGCCATCTGGTGAATTGGAAGGAGGAATGGTGAATGGAAAGATGCTATGTCTATCTGGTGGAATTGAAGGAGGAATGGTGATTGAAAAGTGATGTTGTCTATCCAGAACTGAAGGAGGAAAGGTGATTGAAAGTGATGTTGTCTATCTGGCGAATTGGAAAGGATGAATGGTGATTGCTGACAAGCCATTCATCTGGTGGAATTGGAAGGATAGAACAAGATTGAAAGTGACGTGTTGTCTATCTGGTGGAATTGGAAGGAGGAAAGGTGATTGAAAAGGATGTTGTTCTATCTGGTGGAATTGGAGGAAAGAGGATTGAAAGTGATGTTGTCTATCTGAATTGGAAGGAGGGAATGACGTTGAAAGTGACGTTTCATTTGTGGAATTGGAAGGAGGAATGGTGATTGAAAGTGATGTTTTCATCTGGTGAATTGAAGGAAGATTGAAAGTGATGTTGTCTATCTGGTGGAATTGGAGGAAATGGTGATTGAAAGTGAAGGTTGTCTATTCAGGAATTGGAAGGAGGAATTGGAAGACGTTTTACATTCAGAATTGAAAGTGATGTTGTCTATCATGGAAATTGGAAGGAGGAATGGTGATTGAAAGTGATGTTGTTCATCTGGTGGAATTGGAAGGAGGAAATGGAAGAGGAATGAAAGTGATGTTGTTCATCTGGTGGAATTGGAAGGAGGAATGGTGATTGGAAAGTGATGTTGTCTATCTGTGAAATAGGAAGGAGGAATGGTGATTGAAAGGATGTTGTCTATCTGGTGGAATTGGAAGGAGGAATGGGTGATTGAAAGTGATGTTGTCTATCTGGTGGAATTGGAAGGAGAAATGGTGATTGAAAGTGATGTTGTCTATCTGGTGGAATTGAAGGAGAGGAATGGTGATTGAAAGTGATGTTGTCTATCTGGTGGAATTAGAAGGAGGAAATGGTGAAAAGGATGATGGTGGAATTGAAGGAGGAAATGGTGATTGAAAGTGATGTTGTCTATCTTGAAAAGAATTGGAATTGGAGGAATGGTGATTGAAAGTGATGTTGTCTATCTGGTGAATTGGAAGGAGGAATGGTGATTGAAAGAATCTGGTGGAAATTGGAAGGAGGAATGTGATTGAAAGTGATGTTGTCTATCTGGTGGAATTGAAGGAGGAAATTTGAAAGGACGTTTGAATCTGGTGAAATTGAAGGAGGAATGATTGTTGTTGTCTATCTGCGGAATTGGAAGGAGGAATGGATTGATTTTAAAAGTGATGTTGTTCATCTGGAATGGAATTGGAAGGAGGAATGGAGGAATGATTGAAAGACATGTTGTCTATCTGGTGGAATTGGAAGGAGGAATGTGATTGAAAGATGTTATCTGGTGGAATTGGAAGGAGGAATGGTGATTGAAAGTGATGTTGTTTATCTGGTGAATTGAAGGAGGAATGGTGATTGAAAGTGATGTTGTCTATCTGGTGGAATTGGAAGGAGAATGGTGATTGAAAGTGATGTTGTCTATCTGGTGGAATTGATTGAAGGAGGAATGGTGATTGAAAAAGTGATGTTGTTCATCTGGGAATTGGAAGGAAATGCGATTGAAAAGTGATGCTGTCTATCAATGAATTGGAAGGAGGAAATGATGAAAGATGTTGTCTATCTGGAATGGAATTGGAAGGAGGAATGGTGATTGAAAGTGATGTTGTTCATCATCTGGTGGAATTGAAAGGGAATGGTGATTGAAAGTGATGTTGTTCATTCAGTGGAATTGGAAGGAGGAAAATGGTGAATGAAAAGTGATGTTGTCATATCTTGAAGGAGTGAATTGGAAGGAGGAATGGAATGGATTGAAAGATGTTGTCTATCTGGTCAGGATTAGAAGGAGGAAATGGTGATTGAAAGTGATGTTGTTCATTCAGGAATTGAAGGAGGAATGGTGATTGAAAGTGATGTTGTTCATCTGGTGGAATTGGAAGGAGGAATGGTGATTGAAAGTGATGTTGTCTATCTGGTGGAATTAGAAGGAGGAATGGTGAAAATGAAAGATGTTGTCTATTCTGGAATGGAGGAATGGTGATTGAAAGGAGTGAATCTGGTGGAATGAAAGGAATGGTGATTGTTGTTCATCTGGTGGAATTGAAGGAGGAAATGGTGATTAAAAGTGATGCTGTTCTATCTGGTGGAATTGAAAGGAATGGATTGAAAGTGATGTTGTTTATCTGAATTGAAGGAGGAATGGTGATTGAAAGATGATGTCTATCTGGTGGAATTAAGGAAGGAGAAAGGAATCTGGTGGAATTGGAAAGTGATGTTGTGATGTTGTCTATTCTGGAATTGAATTGGAAGGTGATTGAAAATGACGTTTGATTGAAAAGGAGGATGTTGTCTATTCTAGAAAATTGGGAAGGAGGAATGGTGATTGAAAAGTGATGTTGTTCCATTCTGGAATTGAAGGAGGGGAATGGTGATTGAAAGGATGTTTTCTATCTGTGGAATTGGAAGGAGGAATGGTGATTGAAAGTGATGTTTGCTATCTGGTGGAATTGGAAGGAGGGAATGGTGATTGAAAGTGATGTTGTCTATCTGGAAATTGGAAGGAGGAATGGTGATTGAAAGTGATGTTGTTTCATCTGGAGGAATTGGAAAGTGACGGAATGGGAATGGTGATTGAAAGTGATGTTGTCTATTCTGGTGGGAAATTGGTAGGAGAATGGTGATTGAAAGTGATGTTGTCTATCTGGTGGAACTAAGGAGGAATGGTGATTGAAAGTGATGTTGTCTATCTGGTGGAATCTGAAAGGAGGAAATGGTGATTGAAATGATGTTGCATATCCGGAAATTGAAGGAGAATGGTGATTGAAAGTGATGTTGTCTATCTGGTGGAATTGGAAAATGGATTGAAAAGTGATGTTGTTCATTCAGGAATTGGAAGGAGGAATGAAAAGTGATGTTGTCTATCTGGTGGAATTGGAAGGAGGAATGGTGATTGAAAGTGATGTTGTCTATCTGGTGGAATTGGAAGGAGGAATGGTGATTGAAAGTGATGTTGTCTATCTGGTGGAATTGGAAGGAGGAATGGTGATTGAAAGTGATGTTGCTATCTGGTGAATTGGAAGGAGGAATGGTGATTGAAAGTGATGTTGTATCTGGTGGAATTGGAAGGAGGAATGGTGAAAGAAAAGGAATGATGAAATGTCTATGATTGAAAGTGGAATTGGAAGAAGGAGAATGGTGATTGAAAGTGTTGATTGTCTATCTGGTGGAATTGGAAGGAGGAATGGTGATTGAAAGTGATGTTGTTCATTCTGGTGGAATTGCGAGGAATGGTGATTGAAAGTGATGTTGTTCATTCAGAATTGAAGGAGGAATGGTGATTGAAAGTGATGTTGTCTGGTGGAATTGGAAGGAGGAATGGTGATTGAAAGGATGTTGTCTATCTGGTGGAATTGGAAGGAGGAATGGTGATTGAAAGTGATGTTGTTTATTCAGGAAGGATCTGGTGAATTTGAAGAGGAAATGGGTGAATTGAAAGTGATGTTGTCTTCTGGTGGAATTCGAAGGGAGGAATGGTGAAAAGTGATGTTGTCTATCTGGTGGAATTGAAGGAGGAAATGGGTGAATGAAAGTGATGTTGTCTATTGGTGGAAAAGGAAGGGGAGGAATGGAATGATTGAAAGTGATGCTGTTCATCTGGTGGAATTGGAAGGAGGAATGGTGATTGAAAGTGATGTTGTCATTCTGGTGGAATTGGAAGGAGAATGGTGATTGAAAGTGATGTTGTCTATCTGGTGGAATTGAAAGGAGGAATGGTGATTGAAAGTGATGTTGTCTATCTGGTGGAATTGGAAGGAGGAATGGTGATTGAAAAGATGTTGTTCCCTGGTGGAATTGAAGGAGGAATGGTGATTGAAAGTGATGTTCTCTATCTGGTGGAATTGGAAAGGAGAATGGTGAAGGAAAGTGATGTTGTCTATCTGGTGGAATTGATTGAAAGGAGGAATGGTGAAGGAGGAAAGGTGATGTTGTCTATCTGGTGGAATTGGAAGGAGGAATGGTGATTGAAAAGTGATGTTGTCTATCTGGTGGAATTGGAAGGAGGAATGGTGATTGAAAGTGATGTTGTCTATCTGGTGAATTGAAAGAGGAATGGTGATTGAAAGTGATGTTGTCTATCTGGGTGGAATTAGAAGGAGGAATGGTGATTGAAAGTGATGTTGTTCATCTGGTGGAATTGGAAGGAGGAATGGTGATTGAAAGTGATGTTGTCTATCTGGTGGAATTGGAAGGAGGAATGGTGATTGAAAGTGATGTTGTTATCTGGTGGAATTGGAAGGAGGAATGGTGATTGAAAGTGATGTTGTTCATCTGGTGGAATTGGAAGGAGGAATGGTGATTGAAAGTGATGTTGTTTGCTCTGGTGGAATTGGAGGAGAATGGTGATTGAAAGTGATGTTGTCTATCTGGTGGAATTGGAAGGAGGAATGGTGATTGAAAGTGATGTTGTCTATCTGGTGGAATGGTGGAAAGTGAGAATATCTGGTGATTGAAAGTGATGTTGTCTATCTGGTGGAATTGGAAGGAGGAATGGTGATTGAAAGTGATGTTGTCTATCTGGTGGAATTGGAAGGAGGAATGTGGTGATTGAAAGTGATGTTGTCTATTGGAATTGGAAGGAGGAATGGTGATTGAAAGTGATGTTGTCTATCTGGTGGAATTGAAAGGAGGAATGGATTGAAAGTGATATTGTCATCTGGTGGAACCTGTGGAAGGAGGAATGGTGATTGAAAGTGATGTTGTCTATCTGGTGGAATTGGAAGGAGGAATGGTGATTGAAAGTGATGTTGTCTATCTGGTGGAATTGGAAGGAGGAATGGTGATTGAAAGTGATGTTGTCTATCTCTGTGGAATTGGAAGGAGGAAATGGTGATTGAAAGGATGTTGTTCATCTGGTGGAATTGGAAGAAATAATGATTGAAAGTGATGTTGTCTATCTGGTGGAATTGAAAGGAATAATGATTGAAAAGTGATGTTGTCTATCTGGTGGAATTGGAAGGAGGAATGGTGATTGAAAGTGATGTTGTTCATCTGGTGGAATTGGAAGGAGGAATGGTGATTGAAAGTGATGTTGTCTATCTGGTGGAATTGGAAGGAGGAATGGTGATTGAAAGTGATGTTGTGGAATCTGGTGGAAAGACGTTAGAAGGAGGAATGGTGATTGAAAGTGATGTTGTCTATCTGGTGGAATTGGAAGGAGGAATGGTGATTGAAAGTGATGTTGTCTATCTGGTGGAATTGGAAAGGAGGAATGGTGATTGAAAGTGATGTTGTCTATTCAGGAATTGAAGGAGGAAATGGTGATTGAAAGTGATGTTGTCTATCTGGTGGAATTGGAAGGAGGAATGGTGATTGAAATGTGATGTTGGAATTGGAAGGAGGAATGGTGATTGAAAGTGATGTTGTCTAATTAGAAGGAGGAATGGTGATTGAAAGTGATGTTGTCTATCTGGTGAATTGGAAGGAGAATGGGTGATTGAAAGTGATGTTGTTCTATCTGGTGGAATTGGAAGGAGGAATGGTGATTGAAAAGTGATGTTGTCATCTGGTGAATTGGAAGGAGGAATGGTGATTGAAAGTGATGTTGTCTATCTGGTGGAATTAGGAAGGAGGAATGGTGATTGAAAGTGATGTTGTCTATCTGGTGGAATTAGAAAGAGGAATAATGATTGAAAGTGATGTTGTTCATCTGGGAATTGAAAGGAGGAATGGTGATTGAAAGTGATGTTGTCTATCTGGTGAATTGGAAGGAGGAATGGTGATTGAAAAGTGATGTTGTCTATCTGGTGGAATTGGAAGGAGGAATGGTGATTGAAAGTGATGTTGTCTATCTGGTGGAATTAGAAGGAGGAATGGTGATTGAAAGTGATGTTGTCATCTGGTGGAATTAGAAGGAGGAATGGTGATTGAAAGTGATGTTGTTCTATCTGGTGGAATTGGAAGGAGGAATGGTGATTAAAGTGATGTTCTCTATCTGGTGGGGAATTGGAAGGATGAATGGTGATTGAAAGTGATGTTGTCTATCTGGTGGAATTGGAAGGAGGAATGGTGATTGAAAGTGATGTTGTCTATCTGGTGGAATTGGAAGGAGGAAATGGTGATTGAAAGATGTTGTTATCTGGGAGGAATGGTGATTGAAAGGAGGAATGGAATTAGATTGAAAGTGATGTTGTCTATCTGGTGGAATTAGAAGGAGGAATGGTGATTGAAAGTGATGATTGAAAGTGATATCATCTGTGGGAATTGGAAGGAGGTGAATGGTGATTGAAAGTGATGTTGTCTATCTGGTGGAATTGGAAGGAGGAATGGTGATTGAAAGTGATGTTGTCTATCTGGTGAATTGCTGAGGAATGGTGATTGAAAGTGATGTTGTTCATCTGGTGGAATTGGAAGGAGGAATGGTGATTGAAAGTGATGTTGTTCATCTGGTGGAATTAGGAAGGAGGAATGGTGATTGAAAGTGATGTTTCCTATCTGGTGGAATTGAAGGAGGAAAAGTGATGTTGATTGAAAGGAGGAAATGGTGACGAAAGTGATAAGCTATCTGGTGGAATTGGAAGAGGAAATGGGTGATTAAAAGTGATGCCGTTATCTGGTGGAATTGGAAGGAGTAATGCGATTGAAAGTGATAATTCATTCAGGAATTGGAAGGAGGAATGGTGATTGAAAAGGATGTTTGCTATCTGGTGGAATTGAAGGAGGAATGGTGATTGAAAGTGACGTTTTACATCTGGTGGAATTGGAAGGGTGGAATGCGATTGGAAAAGTGGATGTTCTCTATCTGGTGGAATTGGAAGGAGGAATGGGTGATTGAAAGGATGTTCTCTTCATTCATGGAATTGAAGAGGGAATGGTGATTAAAGATTGCTTGCTATCTGGTGGAATTGCCGGAGGAATGGTGATGAAAGTGATGGTTCATCTGGTGGAACAAGGAGAACAGATTGAAAGACGTTTGCTATCTGGTGGAATTTAAGGAGAATGGGTGATTGAAAGTGATGTTGTCTATCTGGTGAATGGAAGGAGGAAATGGTGATTGAAAGTGACGTTTGCTATTCAGAAATTGGAAGGAGGAAATGGTGATTGAAAGTGATGTTGTCTATCTGGTGGAATTGGAAGGAGGAATGGTGATTGAAAGTGATGTTGTCTATCTGGTGGAATTGGAAGGAGGAATGGTGATTGAAAGTGATGTTGTCTATCTGGTGGAATTGGAAGGAGGAATGGTGATTGAAAGTGATGTTGTCTATCTGGTGGAATTGGAAGGAGGAATGGTGATTGAAAGTGATGTTGTCTATCTGGTGGAATTGAAGGAGGAATGGTGATTGAAAGTGATGTTGTTATCTGGTGGAATTGGAAGGAGGAATGGTGATTGAAAGTGATTTGTCTATCTGGGAATTGGAAGAGGAATGGTGATTGAAAGTGATGTTGTCTATCTGGAAATTGGAAGGAGGAATGGTGATTGAATGAGTGATGTTGTCTATCTGGTGGAATTGAAGGGAGGAATGGTGATTGAAAGTGATGTTGTCTATCTGGTGGAATTGGAAGGAGGAATGGTGATTGAAAGTGATGTTGTCTATCTGGTGGAATGGAGGAATGGTGATTGAAAGTGATGTTGTCTATCTGGTGGAATTGGAAGGAGGAATGGTGATTGAAAGTGATGTTGTCTATCTGGTGAATTAGAAGGAGGAATGGTGATTGAAAGTGATGTTGTCTATCTGGTGGAATTGGAAGGAGGAATGGTGATTGAAAGTGATGTTTCATCTGGTGGAATTGGAAGGAGGAATGGTGATTGAAAGTGATGTTGTCTATCTGGTGGAATTAGAAGGAGGAATGGTGATTGAAAGTGATGTTGTCTATCTGGTGGAATTGGAAGGAGGAATGGTGATTGAAAGTGATGTTGTCTATCTGGTGGAATTGGAAGGAGGAATGGTGATTGAAAGTGATGTTGTCTATCTGGTGGAATTGGAAGGAGGAATGGTGATTGAAAGTGATGTTGTCTATCTGGTGGAATTGGAAGGAGGAATGGTGATTGAAAGTGATGTTGTATCTGGTGGAATTGGAAGGAGGAATGGTGATTGAAAGTGATGTTGTCTATCTGGTGGAAATTGGAAGGAGGAATGGTGATTGAAAAGTGATGTTGTCTATCTGGTGGAATTTGAAGGAGGAATGGTGATTGAAAGTGATGTTGTCTATCTGGTGGAATTGGAAGGAGGAATGGTGATTGAAAGTGATGTTGTCTATCTGGTGGAATTGGAAGGAGGAATGGTGATTGAAAGTGATGTTATCTATCTGGTGAAATTGGAAGGAGGAATGGTGATTGAAAGTGATGTTGTCTATCTGGTGGAATTGGAAGGAGGAATGGTGATTGAAAGTGATGTTCTCTATCTGGTGGAATTGGAAGGAGGAATGGTGATTGAAAGTGATGTTGTCTATCTGGTGGAATTGGAAGGAGGAATGGTGATTGAAAGTGATGTTGTCTATCTGGTGGAAATTGGAAGGAGGAATGGTGATTGAAAGTGATGTTGTCTATCTGGTGGAATTGGAAGGAGGAATGGTGATTGAAAAGTGATGTTGTCTATCTGGTGGAATTGAAGGAGGAATTGATTGAAAGTGATGTTGTTCATCTGGTGGAATTGGAAGGAGGAATGGTGATTGAAAGTGATGTTGTCTATCTGGTGGAATTGGATGGAGGAATGGTGATTGAAAGTGATGTTGTCTATCTGGTGGAATTGGAAGGAGGAATGGTGATTGAAAGTGATGTTTGGTATCTGGTGGAATTGGAAGGAGGAATGGTGATTGAAAGTGATGTTGTCTATCTGGTGGAATTGGAAGGAGGAATGGTGATTGAAAGTGATGTTGTCTATCTGGTGGAATTGGAAGAAATGGTGATTGGAAAGATGTTTGTCTATCTGGTGGAATTGGAAGGAGAATGGTGATTGTGATGTTGTCTATCTGGTGGAATTGGAAGGAGGAATGAATGGTGATTGAAAAAGTGACGTTTGTGATGTTGTCTATCTGGTGGAATTGGAAGGAGGAATGGTGATTGAAAGTGATGTTGTCTATCTGGTGGAATTGGAAGGAGGAATGGTGATTGAAAGTGATGTTGTTCATCTGGTGGAATGGAAGGAGGAATGGTGATTGAAAGTGATGTTTGCTATCTGGTGGAATTGAAGGAGAATGGTGATTGAAAGTGATGTTGTCTATCTGGTGGAATTGAAGGAGGAATGGTGATTGAAAGTGATGTTGTCTATCTGGTGGAATTGGAAGGAGGAATGGTGATTGAAAGTGATGTTGTCATCTGGTGGAATTGGAAGGAGAATGGTGATTGAAAGTGATGTTTGCTATCTGGTGGAATTGGAAGGAGGAATGGTGATTGAAAGTGATGTTGTCTATCTGTGGAATTGGAAGGAGGAATGGTGATTGAAAAGTGATGTTGTCTATCTGGTGGAATTGGAAGGAGGAATGGTGATTGAAAGTGATGTTGTCTATCTGGTGGAATTGGAAGGAGGAATGGTGATTGAAAGTGATGTTGTCTATCTGGTGGAATTGGAAGGAGGAATGGTGATTGAAAGTGATGTTTGCTATCTGGTGGAATTGGAAGGAGGAATGGTGATTGAAAGTGATGTTGTCTATCTGGTGGAATTGGAAGGAGGAATGGTGATTGAAAGTGATGTTGTCTATCTGGTGGAATTGGAAGGAGGAATGGTGATTGAAAGTGATGTTGTCTCATCTGGGAATGGTGATTGGAAGGAGGAATGGTGATTGAAAGTGGCATTGATGTTGTCTATCTGGTGGAATTGGAAGGAGGAATGGTGATTGAAAGTGATGTTGTCTATCTGGTGGAATTGGAAGGAGGAATGGTGAATGAAAGTGATGTTGTCTATCTGGTGGAATTGGAAGGAGAATGGTGATTGAAAGTGATGTTGTCTATCTGGTGGAATTGGAAGGAGGAATGGTGATTGAAAGTGATGTTGTCTATCTGGTGGAATTAGAAGGAGGAATGGTGATTGAAAAGGATGTTCGGAATTGGTATGGTGGGATTGGAATTGGAAGGAGGAATGGTGATTGAATGTGATGTTGTCTATCTGGTGGAATTGGAAGGAGGAATGGTGATTGAAAGTGATGTTGTCTATCTGGTGGAATTGGAAGGAGGAATGGTGATTGAAAGTGATGTTGTCTATCTGGAAGGAAATTGGAAGGAGGTCTGGTGGAATTGGAAGGAGGAATGGTGAAGTGATGTTTGCTATCTGGTGGAATTGGAAGGAGGAATGGTGATTGAAAGTGATGTTGTCTATCTGGTGGAATTGGAAGAAGGAGATTGAATGGTGATTGAAAGTGAATGGTTGTCTATCTGGTGGAATTGGAAGGAGGAATGGTGATTGAAAGTGATGTTGTCTATCTGGTGGAAATTGGAAGGAGGAATGGTGATTGAAATGTGATGTTGTCTATCTGGTGGAATTGATTGAAGGATCTGGAATTGGTGAATTGAAAAAGTGATGTTGTCTATCTGGTGGAATTGGAAGGAGGAATGGTGATTGAAAGTGATGTTGTCTATCTGGTGGAATTGGAAGGAGGAATGGTGATTGAAAGTGATGTTGTCTATCTGGTGGAATTGGAAGGAGAATGGTGATTGAAAGTGATGTTGTCTATCTGGTGGAATTGGAAGGAGGAATGGTGATTGAAAGTGATGTTGTCTATCTGGTGGAATTGGAAGGAGGAATGGTGATTGAAAGTGATGTTGTCTATCTGGTGGAATTGGAAGGAGGAATGGTGATTGAAAAGTGATGTTGTCTATCTGGTGGAATTGGAAGGAGGAATGGTGATTGAAAGTGATGTTGTCTATCTGGTGGAATTGGAAGGAGGAATGGTGATTGAAAGTGACGTTTGCTATCTGGTGGAATTGGAAGGAGGAATGGTGATTGAAAGTGATGTTGTCTATCTGGTGGAATTGGAAGGAGGAATGGTGATTGAAAGTGATGTTGTCTATCTGGTGGAATTGGAAGGAGGAATGGTGATTGAAAGTGATGTTGTCTATCTGGTGGAATTGGAAGGAGGAATGGTGATTGAAAGTGATGTTGTCTATCTGGTGGAATTGGAAGGAGGAATGGTGATTGAAAGTGATGTTCTCTATCTGGTGGAATTGGAAAGGAGGAATGGTGATTGAAAGTGATGTTGTCTTTCTGGTGGAATTGGAAGGAGGAATGGTGATTGAAAGTGTTGTCTGTTGTCTATCTGGTGAAATTGGAAGGAGGAATGGTGATTGAAAGTGATGTTGTCTATCTGGTGGAATTGGAAGGAGGAATGGTGATTGAAAGTGATGTTGCTCTATCTGGTGGAATTGGAAGGAGGAATGGTGAATGAAAGTGATGTTGTCTATCTGGTGGAATTGGAAGGAGGAATGGTGATTGAAAGTGATGTTTTGTCTATCTGGTGGAATTGGAAGGAGGAATGGTGATTGAAAGTGATGTTGTCTATCTGGTGGAATTGGAAGGAGGAATGGTGATTGAAAGATGATGTTGTCTATCTGGTGAATTGGAAGGAGGAATGGTGATTGAAAGTGATGTTGTCTATCTGGTGGAATTGGAAGGAGGAATGGTGATTGAAAGTGATGTTGTCTATCTGGTGGAATTGGAAGGAGGAATGGTGATTGAAAGTGATGTTGTCTATCTGGTGGAATTGGAAGGAGGAATGGTGATTGAAAGTGATGTTGTCTATCTGGTGGAATTGGAAGGAGGAATGGTGATTGAAAGTGATGTTGTCTATCTGGTGGAATTGGAAGGAGGAATGGTGATTGAAAGTGATGTTGTCTATCTGGTGGAATTGGAAGGAGGAATGGTGATTGAAAGTGATGTTGTCTATCTGGTGGAATTGGAAGGAGGAATGGTGATTGAAAGTGACGTTTGCTATCTGGTGGAATTGGAAGGAGGAATGGTGATTGAAAGTGATGTTGTCTATCTGGTGGAATTGGAAGGAGGAATGGTGATTGAAAGTGATGTTGTCTATCTGGTGGAATTGGAAGGAGGAATGGTGATTGAAAGTGATGTTGTCTATCTGGTGGAATTGGAAGGAGGAATGGTGATTGAAAAAGTGATGTTGTCATCTGGTTGGAATTGGAAGGAGGAATGGTGATTGAAAGTGATGTTCTGGTGGAATCTGGTGGAAATGGTGATTGAAAGAGGATGTTGTCTATCTGGTGAATTGGAAGAGGAATGGTGATTGAAAGTGATGTTGTCTATCTGGTGGAATTGGAAGGAGGAATGGTGATTGAAAGTGATGTTGTCTATCTGGTGGAATTGGAAGGAGGAATGGTGATTGAAAGTGATGTTGTCTATCTGGTGGAATTGGAAGGAGGAATGGTGATTGAAAGATGTTGTCTATCTGGTGGAATTGGAAGGAGGAATGGTGATTGAAAGTGATGTTGTCTATCTGGTGGAATTGGAAGGAGGAATGGTGATTGAAAGTGATGTTGTCTATCTGGTGGAATTGGAAGGAGGAATGGTGATTGAAAGTGATGTTGTCTATCTGGTGGAATTGGAAGGAGGAATGGTGATTGAAAGTGATGTTCTCTATCTGGTGGAAATTGGAAATTGGAGGAATGGTGATTGAAAGTGATGTTGTCTATCTGGTGGAATTGGAAGGAGGAATGGTGATTGAAAGATGTTGTCTATCTGGTGGAATTGGAAGGAGGAATGGTGATTGAAAGTGATGTTGTCTATCTGGTGGAATTGGAAGGAGGAATGGTGATTGAAAGATCTGGTGGAATTGAAGGAGGAATGGTGATTGAAAGGATGTTGAAATTGGAAGGAGGAATGGTGATTGAAAGTGATGTTGTCTATCTGGTGGAATTGGAAGGGAATGGTGATTGAAAGTGATGTTGTCTATCTGGTGGAATTGGAAGGAGGAATGGTGATTGAAAGTGATGTTGTTCATCTGGTGGAATTGAAGGAGGAATGGTGATTGAAAGATGTTGTTGTATCTGGTGGAATTGGAAGGAGGAATGGTGATTGAAAGTGATGTTGTTCATCTGGTGAAATGGAAGGAGGAATGGTGATTGAAAGTGATGTTTGTCTATCTGGTGGAAAGTTGGAAGGAGGAATGGTGATTGAAAGTGATGTTGTCTATCTGGTGGAATTGGAAGGAGGAATGGTGATTGAAAGTGATGTTGTCTATCTGGTGGAATTGGAAGGAGGAATGGTGATTGAAAGTGATGTTGTCTATCTGGTGGAATTGGAAGGAGGAATGGTGATGAAAGTTGTCTATCTGGTGATGTTGTTGAAAGTGATGTTGTCTATCTGGTGGAATTGGAAGGGGAATGGTGATTGAAAGTGATGTTGTTCATCTGGTGGAATTGGAAGGAGGAATGGTGATTGAAAGTGATGTTGTTGTCTATCTGGTGGAATTGGAAGGAGGAATGGTGATTGAAAGTGATGTTGTCTATCTGGTGGAATTGGAAGGAGAGGAATGGTGATTGAAAGTGATGTTGTCTATCTGGTGAGGAATTTGAAAGATGAATTCGGTGAATTGGAAGGAGGAACAATGATTGAAAGTGATTGTCTATCTGGTGGAATTGAAGGAGGAATGGTGATTGAAAGTGATGTTCATCTGGTGAATTGGAAGGAGGAATGGTGATTGAAAGTGATAAATGATCTGGTGGAAAAGGAGGAAATGGTGATTGAAAGATGTCCATCTGGTGGAATTGGAAGGAGGAATGATCTTGTCTATCTGGAATTGGAAGGAGGAATGGTGATTGAAAGTGATGTTCTCTATCTCTTGGAAAGGAGGAATTGGAAGGAGGAATGGTGATTGAAAGTGATGTTGTCTATCTGGTGAATTTGAAAGGAGGAATGGTGATTGAAAGTGATGTTGTCTATCTGGTGGAATTGGAAGGAGGAATGGTGATTGAAAGTGATGTTGTCTATCTGGTGGAATTGGAAGGAGGAATGGTGATTGAAAGTGATGTTGTCATCTGGTGGAATTGAAGGAGGAATGGTGATTGAAAGTGATGTTGTCTATCTGGTGGAATTGGAAGGAGGAATGGTGATTGAAAGTGATGTTGTCTATCTGGTGGAATTGGAAGGAGGAATGGTGATTGAAAGTGATGTTGTCTATCTGGTGGAATTGGAAAGAGGAATGGTGATTGAAAGTGATGTTGTTCTATCTGGTGGAATTGGAAGGAGGAATGGTGATTGAAAGTGATGTTGTCTATCTGGTGGAATTGGAAGGAGGAATGGTGATTGAAAGTGATGTTGTTCATTGGTGAATTGGAAGGAGGAATGGTGATTGAAAGTGATGTTGTTCTATCTGGTGGAATTGGAAGGAGGAATGGTGATTGAAAGTGATGTTGTCTATCTGGTGGAATTGGAAGGAGGAAAAGTGATGGTGATTGAAAGTGATGTTGAAAAGTGTTGTCTATCTGGTGGAATTGGAAGGAGGAATGGTGATTGAAAGTGATGTTGTCTATCTGGTGGAATTGGAAGGAGGAATGGTGATTGAAAGACGTCTATCTGGTGGAATTGGAAGGAGGAATGGTGATTGAAAGTGATGTTGTCTATCTGGTGGAATTGGAAGGAGGAATGGTGATTGAAAGTGATGTTGTCTATCTGGTGGAATTGGAAGGAGGAATGGTGATTGAAAGTGATGTTGTCTATCTGGTGGAATTGGAAGGAGGAAATGGTGATTGAAAGTGATGTTGTCTATCTGGTGGAATTGAAAGGAGGAATGGTGATTGAAAAGTGATGTTGTCTATCTGGTGGAATTGGAAGGAGGAATGGTGAT